ATGAAACCTTAGGGCCTCAAGATTTAAAAATGCTCCTCCTGGAGATTCCAGATGGATGTTCTCTAAGTAGGAAACAGCACCCTTATTGTTTGGAGGTTCTAGCAGGGGAGCGCAGCTACTCGTATACCCTTGACCGAAGACCGGTCCTCTCCTCTGGGGGGAAGGTCGTCCTCTTCGACTGAGCGCGCAGCTTCCGGAGGGACGAACATGGATCGGTTGAGGGAGGAGGGGGACACCCGCCTAGCCAGCCAGATCAGCCGAATCAACCCTGGCGATCAATGGGGTGACAGATGTCGCAGCCAGATCGCCCTCACATCCAACAGCACCCTTATTGTGACCTGAGGTTTAAAACTGTTTTGGAAGCTATACATCCAAATAAGCACTGTGTCTCAAAGTAGCCACCTAGGAAATGAATCCTCATACTGCAGCCATCACAAAAACATGCTGGGACTCCCTGTAGACGCTGTCCCAAACCTGCTCCTATCAGCCTAAGAGAACCAGGTTTATTGCTTCTTAGCCAGTTAGCTTGGGACTCTAAGCAGAATTACATTACTTGACCAGTTTTTATCACTGGTCTTAATTCTCAATGCCCCTTTAAAGTATAGAAGTTTGCCACTAGTGAAGAGCTATTGAAGAATGGTCTCTGGGCTCTGAAAGCTAATCCCAGAGAATGAAGCAGAAGTGATGGAAAACATTTTCGGGTCTGTGGCCGCCACACTGAAGAGGACAGCATACTTCAGTTCTGGTGTGTTGTCTTAAATATATCAAACAACCTTGGTGTCCTCCCTCACTACCTAGCTGTGTTGAGATTTGAGAGGGACTGCAGGTTATGGGACTGGAACACCCTTCCAAGGCTTCTTGCAGGATCGTGTATAGAGAATGCTTGAAGTAAGTCATTCTTGTAATTTTGGGCAGTGGTTTTTTAACTTTTGGGGTCACAGACCGCTCTAAAAATGTAGCAGAAGCTGTGCCCACTTTCCCAGAAAGGTACACATAGCCTGAGATGCTGCACACCACTGGGACTCTGAAAAGCTCTCCAAATACCCCATGTTAAGACTTCTGCTCTCAGGCTCTGGTTTAGTCCAGTACTGTAAGTCTGAGTTGGTCAAACTGACTCGATCAGCTTGTTGAGGGTGTCCTGGAACTTATGGGACAAGAGGGATAAATCTTATTTAGCTATGAAGACAAGCAATCAAACAGTCCCAGGGCAGCTGTCAAGGTCCCTGGAGCTGTTTCAGGCTCCTGGGAGGTCCTGCAGCCTAAAATCTAGCTGTCCACACAAGGGCCAGGCTAAGGAATCCCTGGTGGCCCCTTCCTTGCAGGAAGGTATGGGGTTGGGATCTGTAAGAGTACAGTGGAGTTACAGGACACAAGCTGCTAAGGACTTGGGAAACTTAGTATTGCTAAGATTTCCAATAACTGGCCCAGGAGAGTTGAATAGAATGGGAAAAAGAAAAAAAAAACTGACTCCCCTACCCACTAGGAAAAACAATGCCTGAATTGGGTGTCTGACACATCTACAGATCATGGGGGGGTCCCAGAAATTATCTAGTCTGAACCCTCTTGCTCCGTTATCACCCAGGGAACTTGCCCAAGGTCACAGACTTGGCGTGAGGAAGAGCTGTCTACTGAGTACTTATCCTCACTATCGGGGCTCTGAGATTGGAATAAAGTACTGTCCTTGCAGTTAATGCATTTACCACATGGGCGCGCCTGCGTCCTCCTACTCTCTTGTGCCCTTCAGAAAATTATGAGCCCAACTTTAACGCAATCAGAGATCGTCCAGAAATTCTGCTAAAAAAAAGTACCTACTGCTTATTGAGCACTACTGCACATAAGACGCTGCTAGCAGCTTTAATTATGCACATAAAACATTTATATATCGTCACAATCACGTTCTGCACATGAAGATACTGGGCACACAGATTTTAAGTAGGTCATGGAACTAGTTTGTGCAGCATCAGGATTCATCCTATGCCTATTTGACTCCAGAATTGGGCTTTACACCCCACCCCCACCTCCCCAAAAGAGCGGACACCTCAAAGCCAGAAACCCCACACAGCCTGGGTTTAGGTCTCACTCCAAGATGAAGTCTTTCAATATCTTTCTAGAAGTTGAGGGGGACCCTTGGTTCCAAATTCTCCAATTCTCCCAATTTAGATGCAATGAAAGAAGGGCCTAGAACCATTGGGGAACAGGGCTTACTGTCCACAGTGACATGCCCAGAAAAGGGCCAATTGGAAGAGATCCAGGAGCCTCACTCTCAGCCCTGGGTGCTCCCTGGGTGCCTCTAGAGAATATGAACTCTCTTGATGTGGTTCAGAATCCCCAAACAAGCCCTAGCCAGTTTGGCTCAGCAGTTAAAGCGTCGGCCCACAGACCAGACAGAATCCCCAAACTCTTTCCTTGGCAATTTGATTCCTCACCGGATCCTACTGCTTTTCTCTTTCACTTCCTTTCTTACTATCTTGGAGGTGGCTGTATTTTAATAGATTTTCATATCCATTATAACTTGAACCCTGTTGGAGAAATCTGGGGCACAAAAGAAGAGAGAAGAATTGGCTCCATGGCCCTTAGAAAGCTGGGCGCTGACCCCTATAGTGCTGAGGACCAAGCTCCTGTGGGCTTTGGGGCTGCCCTAAGTCCAGAAGGCAAATAACAATAATAATAGTAACTAAAATGTATTGAGCTATTACTCTTTGCCAGGCCCAGTGCTAAGAGATTGCTTTATCATTATCTCAACAAATCCCACAGTAGCCCAGTGAGGTAGGCATTTCACTCCATATTACAGACTGAGTGAAATGGAGGTACAAAATGGTTACTTGCCCAAGTTCTGCCCACTGAGTGGTGGGATGTCCACACAGATAATTTGATGCAGAAATAGTGTTTTAAGGTGCTATTCTACAGTTACTCTTCCGGGAGTTTGTCCTTTTCTGGGCAGATTTCTTAGCCTTATTGTCCTAGAATGATGATACCATACACTTGCACAGAACTTTACAGTTTATAAATGTTTTGCAACTAATAATCTCATTTAATCATTCATTTAAAGAATATTTATTGAGTGCCAACCAACCAACAAATGTTCTAAGTCCTTGGTGCTCCAGGTGTGGTCCCTGGACCAGCAGCAGCAGCAGCATCACGTGGCCGTTTATTGGAAAGGCAAAATCTTGGGCCCTGCTACAAACCTGAGTCATAATCTGCATTTAAACAAGATTCCCAGCTGGCTTATATGCACATTAAAGTTTGAGAAGCCCTGCTTTCTAATATTTCCATAAAAACATCATGAAATAGATATCCTACTTTAATACATGGATAGATTGAGATATTGTTATTTGTCTTCCCACAACGAGTAATAAGGCAATCTATGTTAAGAGCTTAGAAGAGTATCTTGCACATAATATGTGCTCAACAAACAACAGCTATTATTATAAATGACAGAGTCAAGCTGTGAACGATTGCTTTTCTCAACTCTATAGCCCTTTGGCCTCAGCAGACTTCTTAGGCACCAGGCATTCATTCCAAGAAGTGAGGTAAGGACTGTGAGTCTGGCTTCCTTCCCAGTTCAGCCAGAGTCTATTCCACAGAACTAGGGAATTAGGCTACTGCTGGGGTGTGCCTAAACCTATAGCAGGGGCCATCCTGTGGTAGGAAGGTTGGTCTCCAGAAGAGGCCAGATATAGAAAGATAGGCTCTCAAGGGACCCCTCCTGGAAAATCCATGCTGGCAAACCTCACCCAGTCTGTCTCCAGGGCTCCTCTGTGATAAGGACTCTCGGTACCCCTATCTTCCCCAGCCTTTTCTCCTCACTTCCTGCCCAAGTCCTTTCAGTAGAAGGCCATCTGTACTGCTCCCTCTCATTCAGCAGGACTCCACCTAAGGAGGGCCTGCGCCTGTCTTCCTGTTCTGGCCAAGACCTCCCCAGGGCCCTCAGCTAGGGCCATGGTACCTGCTTTCCTGTGCGGGTTCCCCATCTTCTTTGGAGAACTAACAACAAGGGAACATACCTATTTTTAAATAGTCTACTATTTTATCTTTTTATTCCTTGAAATAAAACTTCAATATACAAATATTACCTTTAAGGCAAAGTTTGTTTATGGTAAAAATTTAAATAATAATATTCAAGTTATATGAAGTTAAAGATCCCACCCTTTAAAAATTTCATGAGACTTTCTTTTTTTTTTTTTTTTATCCTCACCAGAGGATATTTTTCCATTTTTTGTACAGATAGAGTGGGAGGGAGAGAGAGGGAGAGAGAGAGAGAGAGAGAAACATCGACGTGAAGGGACACATTGAGTGGCTGCCACCCGCACGACCAACCAGGGGTTGGGCCGGGGACAAACTGTAACCGAGGTACGTGCCCTTAGCGGGAACCGAACCCGGGTCTCTCCGGACCGCAGGCCGACGCTCTAACCGCTGAGCCAAACTGGCCAGGGCTCATGAGACTTTCTTGACAGCTTGTTCCCTTTTCATAATGACCCCACTAGGCCTGGAAGCTGAGCATAGTCAACTTAAAGGCTTGCCTTTGCCTGAACCCCCAAAGTTCTCCTGCTCAGATAGTTAATCAGCTATTCTCTATAACTGTCTTTGTTTGACAAGAAATGTTTCGAAGGCAGTTCGTTTCCTCCTCAAGGTCGGCTTATTCTCAGTCTCTGGCTGCCCTTCTTCCACGCCCGCTTTTTACCCCTGACTTGGAGAGGAGCCTCGCACCCACCCAACGAAGGGCGGGCCGGACCCCGCCCCGCCCCTCCCTGCCCCGCCCCGCTCTTGGTTCCACGATATGCGCCGCTCCGCCCCGCCCCGCCCCACCCCGCCCCGAGCTCCATGCTAAGCACCGCCCCGCCCCGCCCCGTGCCCACTCACTGACGTTTAGACCCGCCCACCCGCCCAGGGCGAGCCCCGCCTCCTGCGCACATTCCCGGGGGCGGAGCCCCGCTGCACGCCCTCCCCTAAACACGGTCACGTGTCCACACAGGCGTGGGTCCCCACGCACTACACCGCGCTTCCCCCCAGGGTCCAGAGCCCATCTTTCTGCTGCTAGGACAGCGTTCACGCCCACCCCGGGGGCAGAGCCCTACGCGGACGCCAGACGCCCGGCGTGCGGGCCTCGCCCAGGGGCTGTGGGCCCGGAGCCGGTGAGTGCAGCCGCCGTCCCCTCCGCGTGGTCCGCGCAGGCGGGGAGAGGGCGGCAGGGCTCCCTCCTCGCTGGTGCGCAGAGTGACCCCATCTTAACGCCGCCTGCGCGCGTTGTCACCTTGTTACCGGTGGGAAACTCAATTGCCGAAAACTTGAGAAGCCCGCACCCCTGGCCGAATTTCTTTTTTCGGAGGGATGTTTACCACTGTGCCTCCCTGCATCTTCCCCTGGGAGGCTCCCCGGTGCCTTTCAGTCTTGGCTCTGCGCCCACCTGTCACCCCGCTTCGCCGTGAGAAGGAGAAAAAGCATCCATTTTAGACTCCCCACGGGAGTGAGTGATTTACCTTAAAGAAGACGATGGCGACGCTCCTCGCCTCTCCTGCTTTCAGGGTGGTCCGCGAGCGACCCCTTAACCAGCCTTTAGAGAGGGGGCTTGAGGGCAGGCTTGGTGTCCCCGTCAAATCTATCCCTTCCAGTTGTAAGGAGATGGCAGAGGCCATTTGCTGCTCAGTTTCCATCTCTATAAATATACCTCAAAGAAACATGCCATGTGTCTAGATACTTTAAGGTTTAGGTGCATTTCAGAGGGAAGCTTTTCCAGAAGCTTCCTCCATTGGAGATGACCTGAGCACAGAGAGCTGGTTGAGGTTAAGGTTCGCTGCAAATCTTGTAGCCCAGCAGATTTGTCACTGTGAACTCTGTCGTGAAAGTCTGATTAGGGGGATATTACTACATTTTAGTGACTTTAAAACATCATCACCTTTAAAATACACATTATTGAATGTGCTGATAATTAAACTGTGAGAAAGCATGGATTGTAATGAGGCAGCCCCATTTCAGAAATTTAAAAATGTTTTATTTTTATTTATTGATTTAGAGAGAGAGGAAGGGAGAGGAAGAGAGAGAGAAACATAGATGAGAGAGAACATTGATTGGACACCCCCTGCATGCTCCCAACTGGGGATCAGGCCCACAACCTGGGCATGTGCTCTAACTGGGAATGGAACTGGCAGCTTAGTGCATGGGTCAGTGCTCAACCACTGAGCCATACTGACCGCACTTAAAAATATTTTTTAGAATTGTTGAAATACAATAGCTACCACGATGCCAAGTACCAACTTAGTTTTTTGGATTTTCATCATTACTCATAGGGTCTTGTGCAGGTGAGGAAACAGGTAGTTTAAGTAGTGTGCCCTGGGTAAGGGTTGGGGGGACTCATTTGTCAGAGAAGCTGGGGTGCAGACCACTCAGATTCAAACATCTGAATGCCTTGTATACAAGCTCTCAGTGAACTTGGGTGATTAGGGGCAGGGAGAGGTGTAGAGATGACTCTGCATCAGGGTTAAAATGGAACCATAGCTGTTTATCAGTTACCAAGGATAAATATTTGTAGTTAAGCTGATGTGACCTCTTCCTGCTCTGAACCAACATGACCCTGTGTCTGCATTTGTCATGATTCTGAACTCCGCACTGTTGTCACATATATAGCACCCTTACTGGTGAGGTGGTCCTGGGAGGGCCAGATCACATCTGTCTTGTGTCCCTTACAGCCTTCTCTACCACCACCATCTCTTTCCTAAAAATCGAGAGGGGGGTGGATTAATCAGCAGCAGTGGGTTGGATTGGTTTAGGGGGGAGGAGTGGGGAGGACAGAAAATGTGGAGATGAATTAGGGGCCACAATCCAAGCAAAAAGTGACAAGGGTTTGCTCCTGTTCAAGCTACCACAGGATTAAAGTAGGGGGTGCCCTTACATGGCATATAGCACACTGCAGGTGGTTAATTGTTTGCGACATGAAGAAAGGAGAGAGGAGCTGGAAAGGGAAGCCTTTCCTGGGAAGCTGATTCACCTGGTTCATCTCTTTGATCTGACCCTCCTCCCAAGTCACAGTCCCTTTTTGGCCAAACATACTGTTAAAGTTGGTGACAAAACATAGCTACTTGAAAGCTTGGAGCTTGACACCCAGCAGAGATGCTAGAGATAAACTGGCTACATCATTTCTGCCTGCAGGGATGCCAGAAGGGCCATCTGTGAGAAAGTTTCATCATTTGGTCTCCCCCTTTGTGGGGCAGCAGGTGGTCAAGACTGGAGGCAGCAGTAAGAAGCTAAACCCTGCTAGCTTCCAGTCCCTGTGGCTCCAGGACACCCAGGTGAGTTCATCATCTTCTGGTGGGTTTATTCACATCTCACACAGGTGGGCCGGCTCCATCAGCATGTCCTGTGCCTCCCCTAGAATTTATCTCAACACTGTCCACGCCATCACTTCCTTGAGCCAAAACAACCATGCTGGGACTCCATGCAGCTCCTCCTCTTTCAGTCTGGTATTTCTCAGCCAGAAGTGGGCACTACAGTGGCCTGTGGAACTATCAGCTGGAGATTCTGATTCAGGGAGTCTGGAGTGATTCTGATCATTCCAGCTGACTCTGATGTTCACCTTTTGTTGGGAACTGTGTGTAATCCAATGGGACCAGCAAGGCCGTAAGGAAAGCACCTAGCCTTCTGATCTAGTTTCTAGCCTGGTTCACCTTTGCCTTAAGAGTAAGTCAGAATTCCCTTAGAGTCTGACTCTTGCCTCCCTCTTTAGCATGTCTTACCCTGCCTCAGATCTCCCAATCATACTGAATGTTCTGGAGCTACTCTAACAGTCCTTCTTGCCTGTGGTTTTTTGGGTTTTTTGGGTACGTGCCCCTAGCGGGAACCGAACCTGGGACTCTCTGGTCCACAGGCCGATGCTCCAACTGCTGAGCCAAACTGGCCAGGGCTTGCCCGTAGTTTTGATATGCTGCTCCCCTGCTTGAGCAAGTCTTCCTTTATCTTTCAACTCTGCCCCCGTTCCTGTTGGTTCGTGCTAATATGGTAATTCCCACTCTTTCTTCTGGATTTAGCCTTGCCTTCACATCCTCTGAGAAGCCTGCCTGGCTTACTCTGGGCTGGAGGAGAGGCTTCCATTGGCACCATCTGCTTCCTCCTGTTTGACCCTCACAGCTGAATTTGTCCTGCCTGTTAAGTGGAGGAGACAGATATCTAGGGCAAGGGACATGTCCTCAGCAATCTTGTCCCTTCCTCTCTGGATCCCCAACACTTAGCATGTGCCTGTCACAGAGCTGGCTTACAGAGAATGCTTACTGAGTGGCTGAGCGGACAGAAGATGTGTGGCAAGGAAGCCACACATGGGACAGAACTGAGAGCTGGCTTTCCAGCAAACCAAGGCAGAAATTGGTGGTGTGGGAGCCTTAGGGGCCCGAGGGAGGTGGCCTTGGGAACTGCCCTGCATGTGGGCAGTAAGTGCTCATCAGTGGGCTTCCTTCTCTGCACCTCTCTATCAGTTGGTCTCTACCTTTAAGAACTGAGAATTGACTTTTGGAAGGTAAGACCTGTGTCTGCACAGGTGAAACTATTAGGCCACAATAAATGGGAAGGAGAGCCGATGATTAATGTGCACCTGAGAGCCTTGACATAGAAGAAGAGGAAAAGACTTCATGTACTTTGAAGGGTGGATTTAGATGGATCAGAAGGAGAGGAAGGGGCACTTCAGGTGTGAGAACATTTCCAGTCAGGAAAATGGAGACGGAATGAGCAAGGTGGGTTAATGAGGCAGGGAAAAGATCGGCTTCACTGTGTTCTTTTTTCTGGCATGTCCCTTCACTACCCTACCTTGTCAGCTCTCCAGTTTCTGAATCAAGAATTGTGTTTGATTTACTCATAATAGACGCAGATGAGTGGCTCGTTTCAAGTCAGGAGGTTATTTTCCCCTTTATGTACTGGGAAGTCCCACCCCCCAATCCCTTTCCCTTTGAGGTTTGTCAGTGTAGCAATGAATTTGTACTTCTTAATCCCTTCGCCTTTTTCACCCATTCCCACAACCCCCCTTTCATCTGGCACCCAACAATGTTCTCTGTATCTATGAGAATGTTTCTGTTCTACATGTTCATTTTGTTTGTAGATTCCATTGTTGATAGATATGTATTCATTGCCATTTTGTTTGTTCATATATTTTATCTTTTTCTTCAAAAAGACCCTTCATTATTTCATGTAATAACGGTTTGGTGGTGAGGAACTCCTTTAACTTTTTCTTGTCTGGGAAAGTCTTTATATGGCCATCGATTCTAAATGACAGCTTTGCAGGATAGAGTAATCTTGGTTGTAGGTTCTTGCTTTTCATCTGAATATTTCTTGCCACTCCCTTCTGGCCTGCAAAGTTTCTTTTGAGAAGTCAGCTGACAGCCTTATGGGAACTCCCTTATAGGTAACTAGCTGCCTTTCTCTTGCTGCTTTTAAGATTCTCTCTTTGTCTTGAACCTTTTGCATTTTGATGGTGATGTGTCTTGGTGTGGGCCTCTTGGGGTTCATCTTATTTGGGACTCTCTGTGCTTCCTGGACTTGTATTTGTATGTCTCTTTCCTTCACTAAGTTAGAAAAGCTTTCTGCCATTATTGTTTCAAACAGGTTTTCAGTTTCTTGTTCTCTCTCTTCTCCTTCCGGCACCCCCAAGATGCGAATGTTGGCACGCATGAAGTTGTCCCAGAGGCTCCTTACACTATCCTCATTTTTTTGGATTCCTTTTTCTTTTTGCTGTTCTGATTGGGTGTGTTTTGCTTCCTTATATTCCAAATCGATGGTTTGCTTCTTGGATTTACGTACTCTACTATTGAATCTGTGTAAATTATTCTTTATTTCAGTTAAAGCCTCCTTCGTTTCTAACTGTGCCTCAATCATTTCTGACTGGTCTTTTTTTATGCTCTTGAGGCCCTCACTAAGTTCACTGAGCATCCTTATAAGCAGTATTTTGAACTCAGCATCTGTTAGGTTGCTTATCTCCATTTCGCTTAGTTCTTTTCTTGGGGTTTCATTCTGTTCTTTCATTTGGGACCTGTTTCTTTGTCTCCTCATTTTGGCTGCCTCCCTGTGTTTGTTTCTGTGTATTACTTAACGAGCGGTATGGTGCTATCTGAGACCAGATGCTGCTTGTTTGAAAGAATTTAGGAACACCTGAAGCAGGATCCAAGACAGACCAATCCTATGGTGAAGCAAGTGGCAATAGCTTGGGTGGGCCTGAAAGTTGGGTGGGTCGGGGCCTCAGGGAGTCACCAGGGCGGGGCAACCAGTGTGAGCCAGGTTGCTGGAGTCCCAGATATGGAGCTGTCTGCTGCCCCAGGGAAGGGCTCACCAAAGGAACAAAGGCCTCTGACAGCACGTTTGTCCCAGAGAAAGCCCCCTCTCCAGCCCTCGCTCCAGTACCAAACAGCTCAGTTCTTCCCTGTGTGTCTCTGGTGCCCCTCTAGCTGCCTCTCCTCTGAGCTTAGAGGGAGAGAGTCCGATAAGTTCGTGCGCGGGCCCTTTAAGGAGCTGCCTGGGGCTCCAGCCGCATCAGCTTCCCTGAGCCTCAGTTCCCGCTGGTTTTTCCAGCCAGAAGTTATGGGGATTCTCTTCCTGGCACTGGAACCCTGAGCGGTGCACCTGGTGTTGGATGGGGACCCCTCAGTCCTCAGGGAGGACCTTCCCAGCCGAGGTGCCCTCCAGATTTTTACCGGCCACACGTGGGTGTGGGACCAGCCCATCAGCCTCCGCCCCTCCTACCAGTCTGGATGTGGCTGCTGCTTTAATTCCGTAGTTGTAGGACTTCCATTCAGCTTGATTTCAGGCGGTTTTGAATGATGGTTGTTCTGTAGTTTAGTTGTAACTTTGATGTGGTTGTGGGAGGATGCGATACCGTGTTTACCTACACCGCCATCTTAACCGGAAGTCCTGATTATTTAAAAAAAATTTTTTTTCCTTTTATTGATTTTAGAGAGGAAGTGAGAGGGAGAGAAAGATAGAAACATCGATGAGAGAGAACATTGATTGGCCACCTTCTGCATGCCCCCCATTGAGGATTGGGCTCTCAACCCGGGCACGTGTCCTGACTGGGAATCAAACTGGTGACCTCTTGGTTCGTGGGTCTACGCTCAACCACCGAGCCACACCGGCCGGACCTGATTGTTTGTTTGTTTTTTTGTTGTTTTTTTTTTTACAAAGCATTAATCCTTGAATACAGCGATGGTAATTTGTATTCATTTCTTTTTTTTTTTTTTTTTTTAAATTTATCTTTATTGTTGAATGTATTACAGATGTCCCTTTTTTTATGCCCCTTGACCCCCTTCTCCTCAATTCTGCCCCCCCTCCTGCTTTCCCCACACTATTGTCTGTGTCTGTTGGTTATGCATATATGCATATAAGTTCTTTAATTTCTCTCTTCCCGCCCCACCTCCCCACTCTTCTTTGTGGTTCATCAGTCTAACAGCCAATTTGTACTTCTAATCCCTTCATCTTTTTCACCCAACTCCCCTCCTATCTGGCAACCAATAAAAAGTTTTCTGTATTTATGAGTCTGTTTCTGTTCTGCTTGCTCATTTTGTTTGTAGATTCAATTGTTGATAGCTATGTATTAATTGCCATTTTATTGTTCATATTTTTTTATCTTCTTCAAGAAGACCCTTCAACATTTCATATAATACTGGTTTGGTGGTGATGAACTCCTTCAGCTTTTTCTTGTCTGGGAAACTCTTCATATGTCCATTGATTCTAAATGATAGTTGCTGGATAGCGTAATCTTGGTTGCAGGTCATAGCTTTTCATCACTTTAAATGTTTCCTGCCACTCCCCCTGGCCTGCAAAGTTTCTTTTGAGAACTCAGCTAACAGCCTTATGGGAGCTCCATTGTAGGTAACTGCTTTTCTCTTGCTGATTTTAAGATTCTCTCTTTGTCTTTAACCTTTTGTATTTTGATGATGATGTGTCTTGGTGTGGGTCTCTTTGGGTTCATCTTGTTTGGGACTCTGTGCTTCCTGGACTTGTATGACTATTTCCTTCACCAAGTTAGGGGATTTTTCTGTCATTTTTTCAAATAGGTTTTCAGTTTCTTGCTCTCTTTCTTCTTTTTCTGGCACTCCCATGATGTAAATGTTGGTACACTTGAAGTTGTCTCACAGGCTCCTTATATTATCCTCATTTTTTTGGATTATTTTTTCTTTTTGCTGTTCTGATCGGGTGTTTTTTACTTCCTTATATTCCAGATTGATGGTTTGCTTCTTGGCTTCACCTACTCTACTACTGATTCCCTGTAAATTATTCTTTATTTCAGTTAGTACATTCTCCCTTTCTGATTGGTTCTTTATCATGCTGTTGAGGCCCTCACTAAGTTCACTGAGTGTCCTTATAAGCAGTGTTTCAAACTCTGCATGTTAGATTGCTTATCTCCATTTCATTTAATTCTTTTCCTGGAGTTTTGTTCTGTTCTTTCATTTGGAACATGTTTCTTTGTCTCCTCATTTTGGCTGCCTCCCTTTGTTTGTTTCTATGTATTATTAGGTAGAGTTGCTATGTGTCCTAGGCTTCATTGGATGGCCTCTTGTAGGTGTCCTGCAGGGTCCAGTGGCACAGCCTTCTTGATCACCCAGCTGAGCCCTCAAGGCTCACCCCTCATGTGGACTGTACACCCTTCTGTTGTAATTGATTCTTGATTGCTGTTGCCACATCAATGGAGGATTTTACTCAGGCTGATCAGCTGCAAGGACTGGCTGTGCCCACTAGCCACTGACCTCTGACTACCTTGGAGGATCAGCTGTGCAGGGGCCCACCACACAGAGCAAGACATATTTCAGCAGGGCTCTAGTACCCACCGAGTCCATTCCTTGAGTGTGTCACTTGTGGAGGTGGTTGGGTAGTGGTGCTTTGATGTGGTCTGGCTTTGACTGAGTGTGCTGGCTCTGGGGTAAGGTCAGCCATTGCCTGTGTTCTATCCAGGGCCATCAAGCATAAACTACAAAGTGATCTGCTGATGGCTGCTGCTTGTGCTGGGTTTGGAGGTGCCCAGGCAGAGCCAAGCTGTGAACCAAGGCTGGCTGCTTCTAGTGCTGGGCCTGGGGCCACTTAGCAAAAGGTATGGGGCTCTCTGTGGCCAGATGCTGCTTGTTTGAGAGAATTTTGAAAAATCTGAAGCAGGAGCCAAACATGGCCAATTCTGTGGTAAAGCCACTGGAAACAGTGTGGGTGGGCCCTAAAGATGGGTGGGGCAGGGTCTCAGGGAATCACCAGTGCAGGGGCCCACAGTGTGAGCCAGGTTGCTGAAGTCCCAGATATGGCGGTTGTCTTCAGGCCTTGCGGGGAAAGGGCTCACCAAAGGAATAAAGGCCTCTAATAGCACGTCTGTCCAGAAGAAAACTGCCTCTCCAGTCCTCGCCCTGATGCCAAACAACTCAGTTCTTCCCCTTATGTCTCTGGTGCCTTTCAAGCTGCCTCCCCAACACTGGAGCCTGGAAGGTGCGAGTCCAAGTAAGTCCATGTGTGGGCCCTTTAAGAGGAACAGCCTGGGACTCCAGAAGCCTCATCCTCAGCCTCAGTTCCTGCTGGTTTTTACAGCCAGAATATATAGGGACTTCTCTTCCTGGCACTGGAACCCTGAGCTGGGGGCTAGGTGTGGGATGGAACCCCTCACTCCTCAGGGAGGACCTTCCCAGCCAAGGTGTCCTGATTTGTGTTCGCCACATGTGGGTGTGGGACCAGCCCATCCACCCCCACCCCTCCTACCAGTCTCAATGTGGCTTCTTCTTGAATTTTGTAGTTGTAGGACTTCCATTCAGCTCGATTTCAGGTGGTTCTGAAGGACATTTATTCTGTAGTTGTAATTTTGATATGGTTGTGGAGGTGAGTATTGCGTTTACCTATGCCGCAATCTTGACCAGAAGTCTCTGTATTCTTTTCTTAACTAATCTGTGACAAAGTTTGGATCATTTCCCCTCAGGTATTTTAGAGTGGCCCTGCAGTTTAGAGTGGATCTATTATTTCACTGCTAATCTGATTACCCCTTGATTCTAATCTGAAGATGTGCTAACTGCCCACACTCCTGAAGCAAAGAGCAAAAGTCAAGTCCAAAATAGTCCACTTGGGAAAGCTTTATGGAAGAGATAAGAATGGAGAAATTTGCATTAGGATAGATGTCTCATGCACCTCTTCTAGTCTTCCCCTTTCTGGATCTATAAGCCTCCCTTAGTCTGTGCTGCTGTAACAGAATACTATGGACTCTGTAGCTTACAAATACAGAAATTTATTTCTCAGTTCTGGAGGCTGGAAAGTGAAGATCAAAGTGCTGGCAGATTCAGTTTCCTGGCTCATAGTTGGTCATCTCCCTGTGTTCCCACATGCTTGAAGGGACAAGGGAACTCTCTGGGGCCTCCTTTATAAGGGCACAAGTCCCACTCATGGGGATTCCACCCTCAAGACCTAATCAGTTCCAGATGCACACCTCCAGATACATCCCATTGCGGGTTATGTTTTGAACATACAGATTTTGCGGGAACACAGATGTGTCAATAAGCAGAGGCTTAGATCATGTTTATTTTTTTCTAGGTTCATGGAAAGAAATTATTCCTTAGATTTGATCCAGACGAAGAAACCAGATCTCCTGGCAACAACTCACTGCCAGAACTTCTACAAAAAGGAGAGAGGAAGGAAGAGGCTGGGGACCAAAAGCAGACTTTGGGTCCCGACAACCAGAAAATCTCAGACCAGTCCTCCTGGTCCCTGGAGCTTGTCCACAGTGGAGACACTGGTTCCGAGTATTTGGGGGAAGACAGCCCTGCAGGAGGTGCTGAGAGATGGCTGCAGGTCAGCTTTGGTTTGTTTGGAAGCATTTGGGTGAACGAATTCTCCAGAGCAAAGAAAGCCAACAAGAGGGGTGACTGGAGGGACCCCATTCCAAGGTAATGGCATGGTGGAGTGGGCTGTGGGCTGTGTCTGTCTGAATCTCCGAGGGGTCTCCAGTGTTGAACACGGCCCCCATGGTGTGGCACACACTCTGGGGGCACTGATGTGGCTGTCCAACCTGCTTTCGAGGAGAGAGAAAGCAGACTAATAAGCCCTGTTTGTGCAGTGGTGCCACAGCTCCTGAACTTGAGACTTTCCTGTATGTCCGAAGTTGTCTTCATTGAACATGTTATAATCAGAAAAACGAAGATATATATATATATATACATATAAATAGATAGATATATATACACATATACATACATATATATATATACACACACACACACACACACATATATATATATATGTTTTTGTTTAATTACTCTGTTTAGCCCTGAAATGTTTATGATTCTGGCAGAGCCATCCCTTTTCTGTCTTGGGATCTTTGCGTCCCCAGGTTCATCCTGACAGTGGAGGGGGAGTTGTATGGACATATGACCTGACAGTACTGAGGCCACTATATGTGCTTAGGATCTTTTCTTTCTTCCCAGGTTGGTCCTGCACTTTGGTGGTGGCAGCTTCCTGGCATTTTATAATTGTCAGATGTCTTGGAGCTCTTCCCCAGTGGTCAACCCCACCTCTGACATCTTGTCTGAAAAGTTCCATCGAGGACAAGCCTTGGAAGCTCTGGGTCAGGAACAGCCTGTCTGCTATACACTGTTGGACCAAAGATACTTCTCAGGCTTAGGTATGACTGATAAAAGAGGGATGAGCCCCACAGAGTTATTTAATAGAAGAGTCATTCATCTGAGAGGCACAAAACTGATACCCACCTCCAGTGTGAGTACTGTTGGTCTTCAGGCGATCACTTACTCTCTTTAACTTCACTTTCCTCATTTTTAAACTGAGACAGATTAGGCAGTTTCTAACTTCTTTCTTGGCTTCAGAATTCATATCCTAATTCTGTTATCAGTGGTAGTCGGCCCGACAGCCACATTAGCGTGTGACCTCCTAATGGGCAGGGCCATATCTTGTCTGTCCGTGAATCCTCCACTGCCTAGCACTGTGCCTGGGACACAGGAGGTGCATGACAGGTGTCTGTTAGGCACCCAAAGCCATGCAGTTTGCTAATGGACAGCAGTGCATTTGCTAGTGGGGTTGCTCTCGGGCAGACGCAGCTGCCTGCTGGTCAAAGCAGAGATGTCTGCAGTTTACATTAGGATCTTATAAGACATGAGTGAAGAAGCAGTTTCCCACTCGCTGTTCAGGTTTCCTGAGTGGTGAGACTGGGAACATTTTGAGGTAGAGGGAAGAGTTGAGCAGTTTGAAAACTAGGATGACTAATTAGCTAGACTGTTTCCCACAGTGGGGCACCTGTGATTGTAATGAGACAATAGAGTGAGCTGATGATGACAGAGTCACCTCCCTATCCAAAGCATCATTTTGTCTGCTGTAGGTACAGTTCACCTCATGAGGGGGGACAAGGCCAGTGGTTCACCAGACAGTGGCCTTGCATAGTTATGTTAAGACCGTGGGAGTCCAGGATGCCTTGAGGAGCAAAGGGTTTTCCAGAAGTTGCCTTTAGGGTGTATATAGTAAGAGTGAATGGTCTACTAACAAATCATTATTATGAACAGTAGTGATAACAGCCAACGTTTTTCAAGTGACACTAATGTGCCAGGCATGTGGTTTCATCCTTATTGCTTTTCTGTAGGATAGTTATTTACTAGTGTTCCCTTCATTCAGATGAAGAAATTAAAGCAAAGGACATACTGCTAGTAAGTGGTACAGCTGAGACAGGAATCCAAGCACTCTGCCAGTGAATTTTAGAGAAATTTTGTGTGTAGCCAAGTGTGATTATGAAGCTCTTGGAAAGGGAAGTGATTTCATTCATCCATTCATTCACTACACACATGCCCAACCTTTGCTGCCTAGGAGATTACTGTTTAATGGCCCAGCAAGCATGGACTCAGTTCACCATAACTTGAGATATACTGAAGTAAATGCCTAGCAGATATTAAAGGAAGTGCATTTTTGGAACATTATGAATAGAATTATTGATTCTGGAAGGAAGTATCAAGGCTGGCTTTACAGGGAGTGAGGTAAGGGTAGAAAAATAATAAAATAATGCCTCCTAAACACTTTTTGTATTTTAGGCATCATCCTTGACATTTTAAACAATAACAACAACTAATACTTATTTAGTCCCTATGCACCAATTGCTGTGCTCAGCATTTTTGTGTGTGTGTGTGTGTGTGTGCGCGCGCGCGTGCCTGTGTGTGTGAGTTCTTTGTTCTCACAAAAACTAGGTAACATCCCCATTTTACAGATAAGGAAACTGAAGCCTAAAGAATCTGAAGAACTTGCCAGGGTCACATAAGTAGGATCTGGATGAGCTGGGATTTAAATCCAGGGTGTCGGGTTCCAGAGCCTGTTTTTTGAATCTATCTTTTATCCTCACCCGACATTTTTGCATTTATCTTCAGATAGAGTGGGAGGGAGAGAGGGAGCTAGAGAGAGAGAGAAACACTGATGTGAGAGAGAGGCTTCGACTGGCTGCCACCCACACGACCCCAGCCGGGGCTGGGGACAAACCACAACCGAGGTACGTGCCCTTAGCGGGAACCAAACCCCGGTCTCTCTGTTCTGCGGGCCGATGCTCTAACCTCTGAGCCAAACAGGCCAGGGCCAGAGCCTGTTTTGATAACCACTTTGCTATAACATGAGCCATGCATGAGTTTTACCTCCTTTCACCTTCACAACCTTAAAAGTAAGTATTATCAAGCCCATTTTATAGACAGGGAAATTGACATGGGGACTGGGAGACTTACCCACAAGTCCCCATACATGGCAGAGCTGGCTACGGGTCTTCCTCAGTCTCTCCGCTGCTGCCATCGTACCAGCTTCAGTTTGATTCATTAACTTTGTGGACTAGTTTCATTATAGATATGTCCTTTATTCTTCCCTTGTCCTCTCCCTGCTTTCTTTCAGGGAACATCATTAAGAATGAAGCCTTGTACAGAGCTGGGATCCATCCCCTTTCTCTCGGTTCACTTCTCAGTCCTCGGCAACTTGAGATCCTCGTGGATCACGTGGTGGAGTTCAGTACAGACTGGCTTCAGGGCAAGTTCCAGGGAAGACAGAATCACACGCAGATCTACCAGAAAGAGCAGTGCCCTTCTGGGCACCAGGTCATGAAGGAGGCCTTTGGGCCTCCAGATGGCTTCCAGAGGCTCACCTGGTGGTGCCCACAGTGCCAGCCCAGGCTGCCACCCAGAGAGCCAGAGCAAGTCCAGCTTTCCTAAGGCTCTTGGGGCCCCTTTTTAACAGAACCTTGCCCTTTAGGGAGCGTGATGTCTGAGTGTTGAGAAAAGGGATGTGGACAGGGATTGGGACTAGAGGCAGGAATTAGAGGGGAGGGGAGGTCAGAGGAGATCCGTCCTGTTGATATTCATCTCACTGAAGTAACTTCTAAGGCAGAGTTTTCATAGGGTTAGATTTTTTTTTTCAAACAGTTAATTCTTCCTATGTAGTTCTGCCATTGTAAAAGATGAGAAAAATGATGACAGGTCAGGGAAAAGCCTCCCGGAATGAGTGATAATGAAAATATAAGTCTATGGAAAATAGCTGTGCCCCAACATTGCTCTGGTTTGGTTTTGTTTTTGAAACCTTAGTTGGTTTTAAGGCCCTCCAGTTGAGAAACAGGAACATGGAATTGTCTTTCTTCATTCCCCTGGAGGGATCCAGGGATGAGGATGGAGTAGCATGAGTGTCATGTTCTGATTCGGCCTCCTGCCTGGGATGGAGATACCAGGAGAACGGGTGGGGAAGGAGGGGGCCTGGGAACTGGCCACCTTTCTGATGTGCCCAATGGGCTTTAGAACAAAGCTGCTTGTTTCCTCCTAAAGTGATATATTTGTGACCACTGCTTTGTGGAACCAGCAGGAAGTAAGGGTTGTAGAGACACAGTGTAAAGGTGTTAGCAATAGCTGAAAAAACTAGGACATTTAAATAAAGCTCTTTGATATTTCCTGTTGTCATTTTTATTTGGCAGGAATGGTTCTTACCATGTAAATAACAGTTCTTTGTGAAGGTGGCTGCATATGACTTCAGGTGGCCAAGTTCGGATGGATCCACTTAAAAGGGGTAGGGCAGGGGTTGCGGGGAGGTAGAGGAGGGTACAGGCAGGATAAATGGTGATGGAAGACTTGACTTGGGGTGGTGAACACACAATGCAGTGTACAGATGATGTTTTGTGAACCTGTGCACCTGAAACCTGTATAATTTTGTTAACCAGTGTCACCCAATACATTCACTAAAAAAGAGAAAAAAAAAAAATCAGGGCAGGGAGCAGGGGTGAGCACACCGGCTCTCCTGCCCCTGGGGCACTACTATGTAGGAGAGCTGGTAAAGCAGATGTATTTCCCTTCTGTTGCCCCAGCCTCTGGCATGTAGAAGATAGTGATTTGTGTGAGTGAAATTAAAAACAGTGGCTGATATTCCTGACTTTCCTTTTCTTTTATCTGTTTTAGGAATTGAAAGTTTTCAATAGTGGGGAAAGCCAGTTTATGGCAGACACGCAAACCCTGTATAATAGTTCATCTATATGGATTTCTTATCGTATAAAGCACTTAGCCTAGTTCTTACAAAAAAACCACCCTGGCCTGTGGATTAGGGAGTTCCGGGTTCAATTCAGACCAAGGGCTCTTACCTAATTTGTTCTGAGAGGAGGAAGGGAAGGCATAAGTGAATTGAATGAGAGAAAAGAGGTAACAGTGGTTTGGACACAGCAGGGTTGGGTAATAGAACAGTGGGAATTACTCCTGTCCATGTGCCTGGTGGATATCAGGAGAGGCTTTTGCTTGATAGAGCTGCAGATAAGGGCTGTAGAGAGCACTGAGTCCAGATTTCACAGAGGTGAGGAGGACAGGTGTGATCTTTACTCAACACATTCCAAGGAAAAGATTTCTTTATCTCATGAACTCAAGTTTCCAGATAATTGACATTGTGAAAAGCTTGGAATTTAATGTGAGGTTTCAGTGGCCTTAGCTATTCAATAAATATTTCTTCAATGCCTCCTAAATGCTAGGTTTGGGAATACAAGGATAAAGAAGACAAGAAAACCCCTACACTAATAGAAGTCTGGCTTGTTACAGAGAGCATTTTCAGTAGGTTATGAAAAAAATGCTAAGTGAAGGTGGGGAGGGTAAGTGGAAGTCCTAGCACAGTCCTGATTTCAAGCATTGTAATTCAGCAAAAGATAGTGGAGACCTGTTGGTGTCAGGCACTGTGCCAGGTGTGATGTGGCACAGATGTGGTCTTTGACCTTGAGGGGTTCACGATGAGATGAAGTCAAACAAGAGCTAATTAGAATACGGGAAGTGTAGGATGAGAGTAACCACTGGCCATGATTGAAACACTGAGGTTTGTGGAAATAAAGACCACCCCAGTAAGAACAAACAAGTGGCGCTCTTTAATCAGAGCTTGCTACATAGCAAGGACATCATCCACCATTACTTCATTTGGCAGAGACCCAGAGGTAGGCAGGGAAGTGGGAAAGCTGTATAGTGAAAAAAAGGAAAGTCATCAGGTGTGCTTGGATTGGGGGAGGTCGGCATGGGGAAGCTGGAAGCAGGCTAACTAGTAGTGGGGTGTAATTGGTTTGGGGAGCATATTTGGCTTTCTGTGGTTGGTCCTGTGTTGGAAGCTGCCAGGGCTGATAGATTTGAAAGTACTGAAGTGACTGGATAGGAAGCTAAAATCCAAAAAAGGGCATGTAGGTGCCAAATAATGAAGGAGTTTTTATTCTATGCCAGAATCGTTTATTTTATCTTGAAAGGCACATCTTTTGTGGCTCAGTGGTTGAGCGTTGACCCATGCACCAAGAGGTCACTGGTTTGATTCCCGGTCAGGGCACATGCCCAGTTTGAGGGCCAAATCCCTAGTGGGGGCATGGGGAGGTAGCCAATCGATGTTCTCTCTTGTCGATGTTTCTGTCTCTCTCTCCCCCTCCCTTCCTCTCTCTCTAAAATAAAATAAAAAAAAATTTTTTTTAAAAGAAAGGCACTTCCTTTGAGGAACTTAACATTGAAATGTCGGCAAGAGAGTAACATAATCAAGTGGTGTATGTTTTAGATAAATTACTCTAGCTGCCACATGGGGTTGGATGGAGGGAGATGGGAATTCGCCCTCAAAATAGTTTGGGAGAGAAGATGGGGCTTACACCAAGATGGAACAGAGAGGAGAGATTAAGATAAGAGATGTTTGTTTCTTGGAGTCCATAGGATTTGATGACTGATTTCAAAGGGGTATAAGGAGAGAAAGGAGTTAGGGATGATTTTATAATTGACAACTGGGAGGGCTATTAGTGCCATTCACAGGAGAAGCAGATTTAATGAGACAGAGATTTTGGTTATGGACATGTTAAGTTTGAACATCAAAGAGGAGGTGTCCCAGGTGCAGCTCGATTCAGTAAATATTCATTGTGCACCTAGTTTGTGCCAGGCATGAGTCTAGGTGCTTGGGGATAAGATGATAATGAACAAAACAAAGATGTGTCATCATTGAGCTTACATTCTAGCAAGGGGAAACAGCCACTAAGCAACCTAAGTAAATTAGAATGTGATAAATGTTATGGGGAAAAAATAGAGTAGGATAGAGGATCCTGTGTGGCTACTTGAGGTCTCTGAGTTTGTAAGGCTGCCATGCAGCCTTCCCTGAATTGTCAGATTTAGTATGTGGTCCCTTTTTGTTCACAGGTTCTAGGCAGTGATCTGACCTCACAAATTTTAAAAGGATCCTTCCTGGTCGCTGTGTTAAAAAAAAATTGGAAGGCGGGGGGCTGCGGTGCAAGAAGTTTCTAAGGTTTGTGAGGCATCTAGGATGGAGATATAAATGTCCACATCACCTTTTATAGGTTGTAAGAACTCTTCAAATCCTTTCTTTTGGCACTAAGTGGATCTAAAATAAACACTTTGAAGAGAGTAGCTGAAACTCTGGAGGAGTGATTGATATCACTGGGAGAAGTGAAAATGCTTTGCAGTGTCAAATGAGGAGCTTCACTTTTGGGTTACATGTGGTGTGGGAAGCAAGAAAACAGTACAGTGTGAAATTATGTATCTGTGCCGGGTTATGTGTCAAAGGTTGGGTTGGCCACACTTTTGCTTTGTGTGTTGTTGGTGTCAACCTAAAGAACATTCAAACCTGTGAAGAATTTTTTTGAGTTTATTTGAGCCAAACTGACAAATGCTGGGAAGCAAAACCTCAAAGGATTGATATAATGCACCTTAATTTGTACATTACAATCAAAAAAGAAGATGTAAGTGGGTTACAGGAAATTAATTGATGATAGATTAGGGAGGTGGGAGAAAGCAAAGGGGGGGAATCTCTGGGATTGGATAAAAAGTAAAATGATGGAAACATCCTTCTTTTACATAGGTGGGTACAGGATAGTTAACACCCAACAATTAACATGATAATAACAATGAGGGGATTTGTAGTTTCTGCCCTGGTGCATAGGTTGTGTCCTGAGGGGTCTGAAAAAAGGAAGTTATCTCACATTCCTAAGGTATGCTACCTTAGAAAAAGAAAAGGCCATCAGCTCAATTAAGGTGAAAATTGATCTTTGTCAGGGAAGATGCCAATTTAGGGCATGACTACCTGCCATAAACTGCTTTTAGTTAAAAAGTTTCAATTTCGGCCCTGGCCGGTTTGGCTCAGCATTGGAGGCCTGGAGAGACCGGTTCGGCCCTCGTTAAGGGCCTTGGCAGGTACTTCAGTTGCAGTTAGTCCCCGCCCCAGTTGGGGTTGTGTGGGTGGTGACCACTCCATGTGTCTCTCTCACATCGATGTTTCTGTCTCTCTCTTCCTCTCTCCCACTCGCTCTATGAATGCAAAACGTGTCCTCAGGTGAGGATTTTTTAAAAAAGAAAGAATAAAAAAAGCCCTGGCCGGTTTGGCTCAGCGGTTAGAGCATCGGCCTGTGGTCCGGAGAGACCCGGGTTCGGTTGCCGCTAAGGGCATGTAGTACCTCCGTTGCAGTTTGTCTCCGTTGCAGTTTGTCTCCGTTCCAGTTGGGGTTGCGTGGGTGGCAACCACTAGATGTGTCCCTTTCACCTGGATGTTTCTCTCTCTCTCTCTCTCCCCCCCTCCCACTCTATCTGAACAAAATATCGAAAGGTGTTGTGCAGGTGGCAACCACTCCATGTGTCCCTTTTATGTCAATGTTTCTCTCCCTCCCTCTCTATCTGAACAACAAAAAAAAATTTAAATTTCAGACCATCCTCTGTGGTTACTTAAGGTCTTTGAGTTTGCAAGGCTGTCATGTCACGAAGGCCTTCCTTGAGCTCTTCAGATTAGCATGTGGCCCCTTTCCTGAATTGGCAACAAAGCCCAGACAATTTGCTGGTGTGCCCACCTCCCTTTTATTTATTATTATTATTATTTTTTATCCTCACCCGAGGACACCTTTCATATTTTGTTCAGATAGAGTGGGAGGGGGGAGAGAGAGAGAGAGAGAGAGAGAGAGAGAGAGAGAGAAACATCCAGGCGAAAGGGACACATCTAGTGGTTGCCACCCACGCAACCCCAACTGGGGCCCGGGCGAGGTACTACATGCCCTTAGCGGCAACCCAACCGGGTCTCTCCGGACTGCAGGCCCGCAGGCCAACGCTCTAACCGTTGAGCCAAACCGGCCAGGGCCCCACGTCCCTTTTAAATGTTCAGCACTTGGGGAGGGTGAATGCAGCCTGTCATGGAAGCGCTAATCTGGCCACCTGGACAAACAAAACTAAACACGTGAAGGCCTTATTACAAGATCCCAAGGCGGGCTCTTGCCCTCTCTGCTCATCTCTGCTGGGCTCCCAACGGACGCCCAGGTGAGCATCGGACTGCACGTGAGGTTCTGATCCGCTGGATTCACTCCCCCAGCCCCGGGAGGGGCCGGCAGGGAAATCAAAGGCCCGCCCCCAGAGGAGCACCAATCCCGCTCGCCTGCCTCTTTCTCACCCTCCAGTTAGCTTCGGATGTAGTCATCACGCCAGACTGATCTTGCCACCGATTGGCCGGCCTTTTCCTGGTGCGAACCGCCCTGACCAATCAGTGCTTGTCAGTCCACCTCACAAGTTACCAGATGCGGCTCGAGCGGGAGGTCCGTTAAGATGGACAGGGAAGTGGGCGTGACGTCGCGGCGCAGGGCCCGCCTCTGTTCCTCCCCCGCCCACCGGACCTCCTCCACCTAATACTAAAAAGGCGGTAGGGTGCGATCGGAAGGATTTAGCCAGGTGATCCCCCAGGCCAGGCAACCCGCTGTCAGCATGGAGTTCGTGAAGTGCTTGGGACACCCGGAGGAGTTTTACAACCTGCTGCGCTTCCGGATTGGAGGCCAATATAAGCTGTTATACAAGATGGACCAGGTGGGTTGAGCATCCCTGCCGGGCGGAGACGCTGCGCGCGGCGCCCGCCCTTCGGGTCTGGCCCGGCAGACCCAAAATCGGGAGGGGCGCGGCGAGCGGGTGCCGAGCGCCCCAAGTTCCCTCCTTCCCTCCGGCAGCAGACCCCGGCGCAGCCAGGGTCACTCTCCTGAACAGCACGGTGCCTAGCCGGGCTTGGTCTCCTACGCAGGCCCCTTCCTCTTGCCCCTACCCTCCCTCAGGATGTCTTGCTGCTAAAAATGTTTCTACTCGGTCAAGACATTGGTTTTCAGGTAGTTCTGCTTCACATTTTATTCTTCACATTGATGTTTATGTGTGTTCTAATCCTTGGTTTCAAAACAGGTTATCTGGGTAGTTTCAGGGGGAGAGGACTTTGGATAGGAAATGTAAACAAAATAAACAATGTTAACATTATCAGTGATTCCCTTTTCTACAGAGTGAAACCCGACTCTACGTTTCTATTGTCTGTATGCCATCTTCTGCAGAAGCTTCCTTCCCTTTCCTGCGGTCTGATCACTCCCTTCTTCCTCAGTGCTTATGCGGTTTTCCATGACGTTTACTTGCTCTCCATGTTCTTATTACTTACCTGTGTGTCTGTTGATTACCTACATTTTTGGCCTCCTGAAGTCCAGACCTGGTTTTTTTTACATTTCATCTGCCTCATTTCTGTGCCTTTTGTTAAATGAGTGCTTACAAAGGTATTTATTCCAACAAGAAAATTATTCTAAAGTGATTATTGAATGAATAGACACCTTCAGCTGAATTCGTGGGTTATATCAAAAGTTTTAAATTATTTTCTCCAATGGAAATATTACAGTGAAATGTGGTTCTTTGAAATATTACAATGAAATAAGGATACCTTAAATTGGTATCCTTCATTAAAACACTAATTTTCCATCAGGAAAAAATTTTTTTTTCTCTTTGTCTCATAACTTAGAATTCATCTTTCAAGGTCTAGCTTCAATGAGTGCCACCTCTACTGACCATTCAGCAGTCATTTATTAGACAGCTGTACTGTGCTAGGCATTACAGAGGGCTCAGCATGGCAGGCTGGCATGTGTAGACAAAACACTGAAGGAACTCACCATCTTGTCAGGTCAATAAAATGTTATAAAATTGTTCATAGAAAACAGGAAGGTACCATCACCAGATTCCTTTTCATGTTACCCGTGAACCTCCCTTAATCATTTTCCCAGACACTATTTTACCTTATATCAGTTCCAAAGTTTTGTATGGTGGTTATTTCTGCATTGGCTTCATGTTCCCCAAATCCCTTTCAGATATAAGATTCTGGATTTTAAGCAATTTGAAAATAGGAATCTTGTTCGTTGCACCTTTAGTGAATTACTGCCCTCAAGAAACATCAAGCTTTTTAAATAAGATAAACATAAGTAAATGTGGCAGATAATAGTAAATGCTATAAGGAAATTCACAGAAGTGAAAAATCACTTTTGGCTGGGATAGGGGGATTAATCTTCTGAAGAATTCCTAAAAGAAGTACATCTTTAAATTGCTCTTGTGCCTTGCTCAATAGATATTTGTTTAATTAGAGATTCTCACTAAGAGTTTTTTTTTTTAATTTTATTATTTTTTTTCTTTATTGACTTTTAGAGGGAGAGAGAGATAGAAACCTCAATGAGAGACAACATCGATTGGCCGCCTCCTACATGTCCCCCACTAGGAATCGGACCCACAGCCTGGGCATGTGTCCTGACTTGGAATTGAACAGGTGACCTCTTGGTGCTTTGCCCATCGCTCAGCCACACTGAGCCACACCAGCCAGGCTTACTAAGAGTTCTTACTTGGAGCTTTCCTGAAGTTATTTGCAAGTATTTATGTTATTGTAAATTTGTGTTTTGAGGGGAGGAGAATGGTATTCACTATTATCAGATTTTCCCAGGGATCTGTGACATAAAACAAATAAATAGTCACTGCTTTACAATCCAGGTTGTATAGTCTCCTGAACACCTCTTGTGACAGATAATTCACTACCTCTGGAGACCACCCACTCCACCTCCAGATAGTTCTGGTTTTTAGGTAGTGTTACCTTAAAGTGAACTGAACTTCTACTCTTTGTTCTCTCTCTGGAGCCAGAGAGTCTAATCCTTGTTTTGTAATACAGTACTTGAAGTGTTTTAAGAGAAGTCTCATATCTCCAAGAATAGTGATATGCAAGCCAAATGCTCTGTGTTCTTCCAGTCTATCCAAAAAAAGGTAAGATAACCTAAGATGTGTCAAGTAATCTTACAGTGAAAAGTTTCAGAAAGCACAGGAAACGTGCTTTGTAAGCTATAGGGTCTTGAAGAGGTATTAGATTTAGATTAATAGGGAGGATCCACAGTGGATAAAGTCAACATGAGCCAGGTCATGTAGGTGGAATTGAGCATAGAGTGTGTGGAATGATAAGGAAACCAGCCTGGCTGGAATTAGAGAATGTAAAGTAGAAGTATTAAGTTGAGTAAGTGGGTGGGACTACTAAAGCTAAACTATATTGGGTAAAACAGGTAGTGGTTAAAAGCAGAACTAGGTTATGATGAAAGCAATTTTTTGGAACACTCATCTGGCAGATGAGTGGGATTAGGAGATTATATTGTGAGTTAGAGGAAGCAAATTAATAATGATATTAATAATAGTCAGCATTTATTGAGTTTCTGTTTGCCAGGCACTGTGCTAAGCTTTTTAAGTCTGTTACCTCAGTGCATCAGTTAGTTTTCATTGAGTAAGAAGCCCCAAAACTGGGTAGCTCAATTCTGGTGATTGGTTGCATGACAATGTGAATATATTTTACAGTACTAAATTGTGCACTTAAAAATGTTCATGATAGTAAATTTTATATTAAGTGTATTTATCACAATTAACTAAAATCAAACAGTGACTTCAAATAACAACTAATTGAGTTCGCAATTCTCTTGGAGAACTGGTGAGGTCTGGGCCAGCTTGGTTAATTTCTACTGAGTTTGCTCAGCGGAACCTTTCAGCTTGTGGCTGGACAATCTGGTGGTTCGCAGACTGTAGGCTGGAGTGTCAGGAGGAGACTGGGCCATGTGTGTCTCATCATCCAGCAGGCTGGCCCCAGGACTCTTCACCTGGCGACTAGAAGAGCGCAAAGCTCAGTGCGCATGCTTCTGCTTGAGTCACCATTTGCTACTTTTTGGCCAAAAAAAGTCACAAGGAGAGCCCAGATGAGGTGAAGAAAGATCCCATCTCCTAATCAAAAGAGCCATAAAATTGTGCGGCCGTTGTATAATTTACCATACCTAGTCAATCTTGACAACAACCTTAAAGAACTAGACCTATTATTACTGCCATTTTATAGATTAGGAAATGGTGGCATAAAGTAATTAACTTGTGGGGTCACACAGCTCCTAAGTGGTGGTTCCAGGATGCCAACTGAGGCTTGTCTGAAGACCTCCATGTTTTTAGTTTGGAGGTCGCCTGGGTGGCATAAAGAGCATAGGTTTTGACTGGTCCCAGTCAGCTGATCAGATGCCAGCACTGTCACGCATGCTCCCAGAACATAACAGGCACTCTACTATTCCTAGTTGCTTTCTGCCCTTCACAATTCTGCTGTGTATTAGCTTTCTCCCTCCCTTTCCCCTCCCTCCCTTCCTTCAACAAATGTGTGACCACCAATTGCATGCCAGATATTGTTCTGGGTGCTGGAGATAACAACAGTGAACAAGATAGGTGAAGACCTTTCTTTTATGAACCTTACATTTTAGTGGAAGAGAGAATGAAAAAAAATATACAGTATTTCAGGTGGAGATAAGTACTACAAAGAAAAATAATAGGGCAAGGGATCTGAGTGTCTGAAGTCAGACATAATTATAGGGTTGCGATTTGGGCCCAGAGACTGGACTTCTCTGTTTCTCATTTTTCTCTCTATAAAATGAGACTATTGGGGGGAAATGGTGGCATTGGTTACCTCTAGACAGCAGAATGGGTGGCCATGGTAAAGTGGTAGGAGGAAACCTTTTCACAGTATTACCTTTTGAATTTTTTAAAAAGACATTTGAGTTAACCCCTCTTCCAGCTGTAAGATTTGATGAACAATATACTGTACTACATTATTTGTCTTGTTGGTTGCAGTTTTTCTGAGCCCCTTTAACCCCCATGAGACATTTAAAAAAATAATAAAGTTGAGTGTACCTCTAATTAAAGTAAACAGGAAAAACCATTTTCCTTCATTTAACACTTAGTTTATCTCTTAAGTAACAAAGAAGCTGAAAAAGAAATTTACACTTAGCAGATATTGAGGGCTAGTTATTTCTATCACAAAAGGATTTAGCTGTAGGAATTCAGGATTTGGTAAACTTGATTTATACTGAATTTTTAGGAACATATCAAATCTGGGGGCATACTGCCACCTGCAAGTTGTTACATCACTCTGAGGGCACATAATGGAAAAAGCAGGTGTTTTGTAAGCATGTAGTTCTGGCTTCTATCAAGCTTAAATCCTATTATTTAGACAAATATCTGAGTCTGTGAAGTCTAAATCTTGACTCAATTAGCTGAATAACTTTTGGTAATTTAACTTCCAAGCAACAGTTTGTTCATCTGTAGAACAGATACCAGATCACAATCCCTTAACCATATCTCCCAACTCCAAAATGGTAAGTCTGCTCAAGGTTATTTCTTAGCAAAAGACGTGCTCTAAATTAAAATGACCCTGCTTAGTATAAATATTTAAGTGTTTTACTAAAGAAATGTTAAATTATGGGATGCTACTCCACAATGACTAGGGCTGTAATGAGTTTTATTGTCTCTTTCTAAAACAAACAATTCCGAATTCTGCTGCACATTTGGCCATGAAGGTGTCAGGTGGATTATAGGTCTGTAACACTCTCCTTAAAGGGTTTTTTTGGGATTAAACAGGTACAACAGATTGAGGATTTACAGTAATGTTTGTATTGTGCTTGGCATGTAGTAGCTGCCCAGTAAATGGTAGTTATTCATCTCGTTATTTATTTTAGTTCTCAAGTTTGTGGGTCTTTCCCCCCCTTCCAAGGGAACCTGTATTACCTAAAGTCTTAATGGAAGACTGTGGGGAGGGTTGGTAGCTGTTCGTTCACTTGTGGAACTGTTTCAGTCCTGGGAGTGTAGTCTTATACTAGCCACCCCACACGCTTCCTCTAAATGGCTTCCATCCCTGTTTGCTCTCACTTGAGAGTTCTTGGGAGTGTGCTTAATCTCAGCAGTGGTAAACATCTGGGGGCTCTAGGGACAGGCAGCAGGAGCTTTAGCACCCCCTCCTCCCGCACATACACACACATAAGCAGTAGACATTTTTAGTGACTAGTGTTTTCTTTTTTTTTTAATAGATTTTATTATTTATTTTATCCTCACCCGAGGACATTTTTTTGTTTTTTGTTCAGATAGAGTGGGAGGGAGAGAGAGAAAGAGAGAGAGAGAGAAAACATTGACATGAAAGGGACACATCGAGTGGTTGCCACCCGCAGGACCCAACCAAGGCCGGGGATAACCTGCAACCAAGGTACGTGCCCTTAGCGGGAACCAAACCTGTGTCTCTCTGGGCCACAGGCTGACACTCTAACCTCTGAGCCAAACCAGCCAACGTTTGACTAGTGTTTTCTATAGTGTGTTTAATAGTTATATCTTCCTGTATCTTGGTAATTTGAGGAAATTTATTATTATAAGGTGAGGTGCTGAAACAAATGATGGGGGAAGGAGATAGGGACCTGATTTATAGACCTCTGTCCCCTTTTGAGAGTAGAGGAGGTATGTTGGAAAGGAGCTGCAGAACCGGTATAACTGCATCTCTGATTAGAAGTCAGCCCCAAACCATTAGATTTAGCTGAAGATTAAACATTTCATAATGCAGAAAGGAATCACTGCAGCCTGATAGCAGCAGTTTACTTTAAGAGCTGGCATGGAGCTTTGTATATAGCTCTTACTCCTTTTTTAAAATTTTACTGTGAAGTCTTGGGAAGGAGTGAATCATTTAAAAATATTCTATGAATGTATTCATTAATCAAACTTTCACTGAGTATTTGATTTTACTAATATAAGGTGCTCAGTGTATATTTTTAGTAATAATTTTTTATTGAACATGGCAATAAAATTAAATTCTCTTGGCTGTGTGGTTTTTTGGGTTTTTTTTAAAGCTTTACTCTTGGCAAAATAATATTCATTCATGGTAGGAAATCTAGGAAATATACAAATAAAAAGAACATAGTTGACCTAGAACCCACCAGGAAGTCGTGTTAATATTCCAAAGTGACTATGGGATTTCCAGCGAATGTGTCATATGTATTTTTTTAACCGCTCCCCTGTTAGATCTTTCAAATATTTTCCATTTCTCTTAAAAGAGAGTGGGGGAGATTGGGGTCATGTAGTCATGTAAGAGTGTATATAAGAACACTATACTTAAAAAAATTATTTTTAAATCCTCACCCGAGGATATTTTTCCATTTGTCTTCAGATAGAGTGAGAGGGGGAGAGAGAGAGAAAAACAATGATGTGTGAGAGAGAAATCCATTGGCCACCTCCTGCATGACCCCAACCAGGGTTGGGGATGGAACTGCAACCGAGCTATGTGCCTTTGACTAGAATCGAACCCTAGACTCTTCGGTCCACTGGCAGATGCTCTAACTGCTGAGCCAAACCAGCCAGGATGAGGACACTATATTTTTTATTCCATTTTTCTGTAAACATAAAACTGCTCTAAAATATAAAGTCTCTATCACACACACACAGAGCAGTTCTTTCTGATAAGCTTGCATATCAGAATGTGTTGGGTTTTTTTTTTCCTCTGGAAAAAGTTCTTATTTCCTTAGGGCAGAGTAAATTTTATTTATTTATTTATTTTTTTTATCCTGACCCGAGGACTTTTTTTTTTTTTTTCTCATTTTCTTCAGATAGAGCAGGAGGGAGAGAGAGAGAGAAACATCAGTATGAGAGAGACACATCGACTGGTTGCCACCGGCGATAAAGGTGTTAAAGAAAAAAACAGTTCAGTCTGGCCAGTGTGGCTCAGAGGTTGAGCGTGGACCCATACACCAAGAGTTGGAAGGTTCGATTCCGGTCAGGACACATGCCCAGGTTGTGGACCTAATCCCCAGTGGGGGACATCCAGGAGGCGGCCAATCCATGTTCTCTGATGTTTCTTGCTCCCTTTCACTTCTCCCTCTAAAAATCAATAAAAGAAAAAAAATTAAAAGAACAAAATAGCTGAACAGTAGTTAAGCAGCAAAAGCAGATTTTATTCAGAAAAGCTATCGCAGTAGGGGAGAGACCTCAGAACAGAGCCGGGTTCAGTTCCGAACAGAAGGAAAAGTTTCTAGTCAAGGAGCAGGCAGAGTGGAGGCGTCGGTGGAGGAAAAGTTTCTAGGAAACATCTGGGACAAGAGCTTTCTGGCACAAGGACCTAAGGGGGTTCTTGCTGGAGGCAGGCCAGGGCGGGGGATGCGCGGGAGGAGTCGGGTCAGATAGTGAGGGTGAGCAGGTATCCGGGTTTGGGAAGTCTGGCACGAGCAGTTTAGCGGAATACACAAGTGCAAAAGTGGAGGATTCTAGGGAGCCTGACTAAAGTTTGATCACGGAGAGATGCTGTCACGGTGGCGGGAGCGGTGCGGGGCAAGCTTCTTAAATATGAACTGTTTCGGTTAATATCTTTTGGGTTGGTTAACATCTTTTGGGTGCCGCGGCGCAGGGGAAGGCTAGAGAAAGATGCTGGGTGGCAAAGAGGTAGGCAAACCGGAGGCCGAGGGGCGGGGCCAGCCGTGGGGCGGGGCCAACCTCCGGGCGCGCGGCGGGCCTCTGGGGCCTCACGTGTGGGGTGTGTAAGTTGGCGGGGGCGGGTCCCGCAGACGCCCGTTCTTTGCTCCGTCAGCCCCGAGCCTATTGCGGCGGAGGGAGAGCCCGTCCTGCCCCCTCGGTGGGCACCTCCCAGCTCTGCTCAGGTCTATGGAGGAAAAATTCGGTGCTGGCTCCACAATTCTCATGGCCGCCGCCTCCTGCGGCACCAAGGCCATGTCCCTCTTTAAGAGGACCTTGGTGCTGAGCCCCGCCGCGGCGCCCAAGGGCATGGGCACCCCCTCGCGCTGCTGCCCCTTGCCTCCCGCCGCCTGGCCTTCCAAGGACTGGGCGCGGGGAGAAGGCGTCTTCGTTCGGCTACTGAGTCCCACAGCTGCCGGCCTCTGCCCCCAGTCCCACTCCTGCTCGACGTCTGCTACCTCCGTGTGTCTTCTCTGCCCGCAGGACTCGCTCAGCAGCGGCTTGAAAACTTGCTACAAGTATCTGCATCAGACCAGTCGCAGTTTCTCAGTTGTTATCCAGGCGCTCGATGAAGAATTGCGGTGAGTGGCGGGGCAGCTCCTCTTGACTTGGGGAGGAAAGTTTTCCAGAGGCCGTTGAGTCATTCCAAGCAACTTTTTGACATAGCCCCTACCTAGCATTGCATTCTGTGCGCTTGTGATTGGTTAGGCAGAATATACACTACTTGAGTAAAGGAAATGTTCCCTGTTGAAACGCCCATATATTTATTTACCTTAGACTGCCCTTCCAGGCACCTTGCCATCTAATACTGTTCCTGCAGGCCCAGCTCTTTCAAGTGAGGGGGGATGGGGAGGGAAGTTTATTAACTTTTTTTTTAGTCTTGGCAGGGGCCTGAGTCTGATCAGGTGATGCATTTTTCTTGGCTTCACTTATGCTCCTTTAGATTTCCAGTATACCGAGTTAATTCTTCTTGAGTTGCCTCTGTGCAGATTACATACATACATACATGAATTTAGACCAATTGCTTTTATGTCTGATAGTACTTATACCAAGAAGTGGTGTCTTTCAGCTTTATTTTTTTATTTGAAAAATATTAGTTCCATCTAAACATTTGGTCTGTTGGAATTTGTGCAGTTGGTTCTACATTAATTAATTGTAACTCATTCTGGGAGTAGTAGTGACATCCAGCTGATAGGTTTATTTTATTTTATTTTTTAATAAATAAGCTACAGAGCCCATTGCTGCCATCTAAGGAAGGAAAACTAAGATATTTCAAGTGTAAAAGGCATTGACTATTCTTTCATAGTTCTGCAGAGTTAAGGGTTTAGAAAATGGCCTGACATAATTGAGATGTTATTTTAAAATAAATATCTTTGGGAGTTTGTTCCAACATATTAATAGTTCTCCCCTTTTTACAGCCATGCAGTATGCATATTTTACCTGATTCTCCGAGCTCTGGACACTCTGGAAGATGACATGACCATCAGTATAGAAAAAAAGGTCCCACTGTTACACAACTTTCACTCTTACCTTTATGAGCCTGACTGGCGGTTCATGGAAAGCAAGGAGAAGGATCGACAAGTGCTAGAGGACTTCCCAACGGTAGTGGAATTACAGATCTCTTCTGCATATAGTTGTGTTTCTAATTGATGATATAATGTCAGCTGGCCTGCATACCTGTAGAGAACAGTTAAAGAAGCAGTCTGAAGGCAGCATAATATAATGTGATTGTTAAGCTAGACTGCCTGGGTTAGAATCCCAACTTACCCACTTATTAACTGGTGCTTAGTTGCCTAGATTGCCTAGGCCTCGTTTTTTTCCCATCTGTAACAGAGAGATAACAGTAGTACTTACTTCATAGTATTGTTGTGAAGATTAAAAGAATTAACATCGATAAAGATCTTAGAATGGTATTAGCTATTATTGGTATTGTGTTTGGTAGTTCCATGTTTACTACTGTAGAAAGATGCATTCAAGTTCCAGTGTCGTAAGAGATGGAATCTCAAGCTATGCCATAAAACCTATTGACTAGAATACAGCCTAAGTGTGTAGCACTGCTGGCTACTTGGGTACCCTAAACCTGGTAGCATGGAATGGCTACTCATGATGGGTAGCAGCTGTGGTGTAGGGAGCAGGCTCTCAGCAGCTGGGGTGAGGACTGAGAAGCCAGATGATCCTCTGTGGCTTATAGCTGTGTGATGCTGCACAAGTTCCTTAACTTAAGTTTGTATACATAAAGTACTTAGACTAGTACCTGGCACAGACTGAGTGTTCTGGAAATATTAGGTGTGCAGTCCATTCTGTTGGAGTAAAGTGGGTTGTAATTAAAATCAAGATTTAGAAAATCGCACAAGTTTATGTGATACATGCGACTAGGTCCTGCTTTTCTGGAATTTGCATGTCTTCTCACACAAATAAGTGATTCTATCATCTTATAAATAAAGAAGGCTTTCTGTGTGTACACAGTTGCCAGAATTTTTAGAGAAGAATAGTTCTTACATGGCTCTTGCCATTGAAGCGAATCTATGTTCCTGAGTGGAGAGGGAAAGAATCACCCATTACAAAAGAATGAGAAAGGCTCCTTTGGAGCAAGGGCTGTTTCAGATTACTGAGATCATGTCGTCAGTGTCAAAGCCAAAAATACTATACAATACAAACCCAAAAAAAAGTCCGTGAAGAATAATAGGTAGAATTGATCCAGTACAATGCAATAAAAAAGAAGAAAGGAAAATAATCTGTGAAAAATAATTAGGTGAGGAATTAGAGCTTACACCTTTCCCTGTTATACTAGTGGACTCACCCTAGAATCCTTCCTTCGTGTACTTGGAATCAACCCCTAAGGACCTGGAAATCTATAGTGGTTGTGAAACAGAATCACTTGGAAGGGTGAAAATAGGTCTTCCCGGTGCGCCTCATAGGGCAGAAATTGTTATTGGAGAATTTGTGAAATGGGCATGGAGTTTTTGGAGTGAGTCAGCAATGCTCTCTCCTTTCTCGGGTTTCTGGGAAAACAGCTCTTCATTGCCACTCTCTTCTAGATATTTTTGTTTTCATTTTGGGGATTTATGTAATTATGTAGCAAGTACCAAAGAGTTGTTGGAGGTTCAAATTCAGCAGCGAAATATTTATTTTGGAATGTTTGTTTTTAAGAGTTTAAGCTGCTCCTCCTCCCCCACTCCACTGGCCTTTCCTCTCTTATAAATAGAACTGACCTAGCCAAGGATCTGTTGAAAGAGCGGGTCTTAGGGAGATTTGGGGTTCCAAATAACCTTTGGTAGACTTGCTATTTGTTTTTGTCCAACACAGGAAATTACCTTTGGCTTTGCTTGGAACAGCTGTTCTGGAAAGAACAAAGTTCTGGAGAGATTGGGGTGATTTTATGGATTTTGGGGGAGGTTAACAGTTGATGTTCATAGAGTATTCCTAAAGTATCTGAGAGCTTCTGAATCCCTTTGGTGCCCTGCAACCAGCTGGTTTTCCCTCAAGTCCTTAACTATAGGAGTTTCCCGAGGAAGTTTTTCTAACCCCTCTGTAAACAGATTAGGTATTTTTCATACTTTTGATGCATATCAAAGTCTGTTCACTGTTTTCAGTGTTGTGGTTTGGATCTAAAAATACTTTATAGCATTTTATTTAAGAAGTTTCATGGTATTTTTATATTGTATTTTGATAACCTATAAATGCTTTTTTGAACCTAAGATATTTGTGCAATAGCAGTGAATTTTAAAAACATCAATTATACTTTTCTACATTAGAACTTGGGCTATGGAAATAAATGTTGGGTAGCATGCCTGAGAATGAACTAAATTGAGTGTTTAAAGAGTTAAACTGTGTGGTCTTATAGTGGGGGAGACACTATAGCTTCATGATAAAAATTTGGGAACTGATGATAGAAAATGGTTGGCTGATTGCTATAATATAAACTCTGCATGAGTTTCTGGTCGTTTCTGGCTGTCCTATGTCTGGAGAGTGCTTATTGCATAGGAAGTATTACATACATTAGCACAAATGAATCTTCACTATTATGAGGTTTATCTGCAATAAGGCATTCTTCCTGAAATTCTCACATTTATGCTCAGTTTTATGTTGAAGTGTCTCATTTATTACATATTAAAAAGATGAATGTATACTGAGACTTTGAACCTACTTTTGATTTTAGTAACTAGCATTTTTAGAGCCTATTTTAATATTTATAAATTTTTCTGAGTTTATTCAGTAGGTAGAAAACTAGCATAATCTAGATGTTAGGCTTATAGTTGAGTTATTTGGGAGTTTTAATTACCAAGTTCTGCTGTTGCTTTGCTTTATGATCTATAGGTACCATGTTGGTTCCCAGTGTAAATACAGATTTCATATTTTCTGTTTTTTTATATTTCCATTTCAGATCTCCCTTGAGTTTAGAAAACTGGCTTTGAAATATCAAACAGTGATTGCCAACAGTTCCCGGAAAATGGGGTTTGGGATGGCGGAGTTTTTGAATAAGCAGGTGACATCTGAAGAGGAGTGGGACAAGGTTAGTGTCCATGTAAAGCACTAAGTGGTGCATAAGACAGATTTATTTATTTTAATTTATTTATTGATTTTAGAAAGAGAGAAAGTGGGGAGGGGGGCATCGATTTATTGTTCCACTTATTTATGCACCCCAGTTGATTTCTGTATGTGTCCTGAACCAGAATTAAACCCGAAACCTTGGTGTTTAGCTTGACTATCCCATCATAAACACTTAATAAGGGCTTATAGTTTAATGGTAGTGAATTTACCAAAATAGATATAACTCATCCCAGAAGTATAGACATTAAGCTTATAAAACTCTCTGACTTGCTGTGAAATTTTAGGTATTTGGCCAAATTATTTCATGTAGGATAGAGGTATTAGTTTTCAATTCTTAAAAATGTTTTTGTTGTTGTTATTTTCTTCCTTTCCATTACCAAGTGTGTGTGTGTGTGTGTATAACTTAGTATCTGAGTCATTTCCAGTTCCACCTTATCACAAGATGACTTTTTTTTTCTTTTTTAGAGAGGGAGAGGGAGAGTAGAGAGAAACATTGATTGGCTGCCTTCTGCACAACCCCTACTGGGGGTTGAGCCCACAAACTGGGCGTGTGCCTTGAGCAGGAATCCAGGGACCTCTCAGTCCATGGAACAATGCCCAGTCCACTGAGCCACACCAGCCGGGCCATATTTTGTATCTTTTATAGTGTTTAGGTTAGGATCACAAAAGAGATGCTACTACATATTCATTGAGTGAGTGCAAGTCCAAGTTCTGGCCTCTTCATTTATCAAGCTTTAGAACTTGATGGCAACATCTTTGGAACTGCTGATTGATGCTTCCCAAGTTGGTATGTGTATGATTGCTGCTAGAATATCAGTTTGTGAATTTAAAGTTAAAGCTAAAACTCCCGCCCTGGCTGGTTTGGCTCAGCGGTTAGAGCGTTGGCCTGTGGTCCAGAGAGACCTGGGTTCGGTTCCTGCTAAGGGCACGTACCTCGGTTGCAGTTTGTCCCCGGCCCTGATTGGGTTGTGCATGCCAGAGGCAGCCACTCGATGTGTCCCTTTCATGTCGATGTTTCTCTCTCTCTCTCTCTCTCTCTCTTCCTCTCTTTCCCTCCCACTCTATCTGAACAAAATATGGAAAAATGTCCTCAGGAGAGGATAAAAAAAAAAAAAAGGCTAAAACTCCTGACCAAGAACCAGCATTAACCAGTTATCTGCACAGTAATTTCCTTTTCTGCTGTGCAGAGCTATTAGGATACTTAATTATAGGTTGTTGAATAGAAGTTCTGATCAAATAAAATTAAGTACTTTAAAAGATTTTATTTTTTCTTCAATTTTGGAGAAAGGTGAATACTTCCATTCTAGCAGTATTTCTATCCAAATAACTATTATCTTAAAATAAGATATACTTCTCCTTGGACAGCACTATAGATGCACTGTTTTAAATTTCTAATGATTCTCTTAAAATTTCTTCTAATTGTCCACAGCTCATTTCTCACTCTCTAATTTCTGCATATCTTTACTCTTTCCAGAGTCTTTCTCTCCTGGAACATATTTCAGATGTTTCTCCTTACCATTTCACTGTGCCTTTGACTAGTCTCTGGCTTTGTACTTGACTCTTTAGTCTTTGCATAACTCCTCTCCAGAGGGTACCATCTTTAACTACTCTTCACTTCTTAAATTGTATAATGGACATTTATTTTATAAAAGCATTGCATTAAGCTGCTTTGGAATACTCTTTTCAGGGGAGGATAGCTTTGACAAATCACTTTCATGGAAAAAAAATTCTTTGATAATTATTAGTTTACTAAGACCCCTTTAGAGAATGGCAGGTTTAGGTAAGTTGTTAAGCCTGCCTCTTAAGCCAGACTACCTGGCTTTGAATCCTTGGCCTCCAACTTCCCAGATGAGTGATCTTGGGCAAGTTAATCGACTTCTCTGCCTCAGTTTCCACTTCTGTAAAAGGGTGATAATATTAGTATATACTGCATAAGATGTTTATGAGGATTAAATATACAGGATGGGGCAAAAGTAGTTTACAGCTGCTCACATGGAAAATAATACAATAATTCATAAATAATACTCTGTTTTGGGTACTCACAACTGTAAACCCACATTTGCCCCACCCTGTACAGAGTGCTTAAAACAACCCTGGCCGGTTTGGCTCAGCGGTTAGAGCGTCAGCTTGCAGTCCAGAGACAGAGTGCTTAAAACTGTGTCAAGAGCATCCTGGTCATACTTTGTTCTTCTGTGTAATGAGGATTTTGAGATACTGCAAGATCTTGCAATGTCTTCAAGATTAAGCTCAATATTCTAGTCTCTATTAAAGTATATTTTATTCCCTCATTGCCTTCACTCCCATTTTTGTCTAAAAAAAAATTAACTGTACTAGTTTATTTTTTAAATAACCTTTTATTTTAGAAGCAGTGCATGTACATTGTAGAAATATAGAAAACACAAGAAAAAAGAAAAAATCACACCAGTTAGAGATCGCTTTTGTTAAATATTTTGTGTACATCCTTGGATGTTTTCTACTCCTTACTTGTCCATAGTGTATATTTGTGTTTTTTAATCAAAATGAGATCTTGTACATTCTGTTTGGAAACTTCTTTTGTTAGCTAATGATCTCTAACATTTTCATTTTAGTAAAACTTTTATTATTAATGTACTTTAATCTTTTACAGTATTGTCACTATGTTGCCGGGCTCGTGGGAATTGGCCTTTCTCAGCTGTTCTCGGCCTCAGAGTTAGAAGACCCCGTAGTTGGTAATGACTTAGAATGCGCCAATTCTATGGGCCTGTTTTTGCAGAAAACAAACATCATTCGTGATTATCTGGACGATCACAAAAGTGGAAGAGAGTTTTGGCCTCAAGAGGTAACAAATTCAGGATTTTGTTCCAGCATTTACCTTTTGTTTTCCATAAAATGGTTTCCTAAAAGCAAGTGCTTTTATTTATTTATTTTTCAATTACAGTTTATACCAAATATTATTCTGTATTAGTGTCAAGTGTACAGCATAGTGGTGAGACAATCATGTACTTTTACACAGTGGTCCCCTGCTATTTCAAGAACCCACCTAGCACCATACATAGTTATTAGAATATTGACTATATTCCCTATGGTGTACTTTACATCCTCATGACTGTTTTGTGACTACCAGTTTGTACTTCTCAATCCCTTCACCCAGGCTCCCCAACCCTCCTCCCCTCTGGCAGCCATCAGTCTGATCTCTGTATCTTTGAGTCTGTAAAACCGAGTGCCCTTTTTTTTGTTATTCTCGCCTGAGGACATTTTTGCATTTGGCTTCAGACAGAGCAGGAGGGAGAGAAGGAGGAAGAGAGAGAGAGAGAGAGAAACATCGATATGAGAGAGACATATCGAGTGGTTGCCACCCACACGACTCCAACCAAGGCCAGGGACAAATAGCAACCGAGGTACATGGCCCTTAGCAGGGACCAAACCCAGGCCTCTCTGGTCCGCAGGTCAACGCTCCAACCGCTGAGCCAAACTGGCCAGGGCTAAAACCGGGTGCTTTTAAAGTGAAAAAAGACAGGTGGCAAAGTGGGAAAATATTTGCAGCTTATACTGCAGATAAAGGATTAATATTAATATTCATAATGTTTTTTAAAAACTGCTAAAAGTTAAGAAAAAGTCCAAGTGTCCTGTAGAAATATGGGCAAAGAGATAAGAACAGATAACTCACAGAAAGAAAGATGCAAACAATCCTCGAACATTTGAAAAGCTGATCTGCCTTACTTTTAATTTAAAAAATTCACATTAAACCTTCCCCAAGCTCAAACATCATTGTTTTTCAAGCTTCCCAGGTGACTAATGTGCAGCCAGGCTTGAGAAACAGCTTTTGACCTCCCCTTCTTTGACACCACGGCTCAGAGAAGGGAAAAGGGTCCTAAGGAACCTCAGTGAGTTAGTGGTCACCCTGGAAGGGAAGCCTCAGTCTCCTGGGTCAGTCCATTGCCTGTCCAGCACACCACACTGCCTCTCAGGTGAGCACCAGCTGTGCCATCCTGCATACATTTCACCTTCCTCTTCTGTAATATGGAAGCACGTAAAGAACTACAGTTGACCCTTGAACAACATTGGTTTGGACTGCAGAGGTCTGATTATAGGCTGATTTTTTTCAATATATATATATATACCTGGTCCTCCATATCCTTGGGTTTTGAATCTCACATTCCATGATTCAGCCAACAGTTTTCAATCTACAGTTAGGAATCCATGTGTGTGAAGGCTGACTGTATGCATTATTCTACACCATTTCTTTTTTTGTTGTTAATCTTCACTGAAGGATATTTTTTCATTGACTTTTTTTTTTTTTTTTTTGAGCGAGTGTAAAGGAAGGAGGGGAAGTGAGAGAGATACATCGATTGGTTGCCTCCCACAGGACCCTGACCAGGTCTGGGGATCAAACCTACAACGCAGGTACTTGCCCTTCACTGGGAATCGAACCTGAGACCCTTCAGTCCGTGGACCAATACTCTATGTTGGCCAGGGCCCATTTCATTTCTAAGATTTTTTTAAAAATTGATTTTTAGAGCAAGAGGAAAGGAGAGGGAGAGAGAAACATTGATGTGAGAACAGAACATCAATCAGCTGCCTCCTGCACATCCCCTACTAGGGATTGAGCCCATAACCCAGGCATGTACCTTGACTAGGAATCAAACCTGCAACCTTTGGGTGCACAGGATGATGCCCAACCAACTGAGCCACACTGGCCAGGGCTATTCTACACCATTTTATACAAGGGACTTGAGCATCCTCAGATTTTGGTATCCACGGGGCTTCTAGAACCAGTCCCCTGCGGATACCAAGGGATGACTGGTTAAATTTTTGTGGAGTCAAAAATTATATGTGGATTTTCAACTAAGTGTGATTACTGACAACAAATGAAAATACTTTCTTTACAAATGCTGGCCTAATTCCCTATTTTTTGTGGTTATATTTATATCTAAATTGTCAGATCAGATGGCCATTGCCTACTATAAGATCTCCCTTTCCCCACTTATTTAGTCTTTTTTTTCTTTATTGATTTTTGAGAGAGAGAAAGGGAGAGGGAGAGAAAGATAGAAACATGGATGAGAGAGAACACTGATTGACGGCCTCCTGCACTCCCTGCACTGGGGATTTGGCCCACAACCTAGGCATGTGCTCTGACTGGAGATAGAACCAATGACCTCTTGGTGCATGGGTCGATGCTCAACCACTGAGCCACACCAGCTGGGCTCATTTAGTCTTAGTTTTATGCTCACCACCCATCTCTACATTGGTGTCTCTAGTCATTTCTTGAAGCTCATTTGCTGGTAGACAGGAAAGGTAATAATTCAGAACATAATTCCCTACGTTTATACATATTGGCAATAGTTTATCTGTGTCCTTTATATTAAGGTCAGTTTCTCTGGGTATAAAGTTTTGAGTGCCTAAATGTGTTGCTCCAGTTTTCTTCTTCTGGTTTAAAGAAGAAGCAGATTTTTCAGCTGGCTGTTGAAAAGTCTAATGATAACTTTTTTGTGTAAGTCGTGGGTTCATTTTCTTTTCCTCGGTGGTCACTGTCTAGATCCATTATCACTGTAGATGCCAAATGGTGCTATCTTCATTCTATCATTCTTTCTGCATTTACTAGTTGGAATTTTAAATTTTGCGAAAATGGTGGTGGCGGTGGCAGCTTAGTTTTTGGATTTTCACAAAAAATTATTAAAACAACTCGGGGAAAAAAAAAAAACTAAACCAAAAACCCGGAATCCAGCCCTAGGATAATGTGTACAAAAACACTAAGTAACACAATGTCCCCAGGAACTCTAAAACACATGTGAGCAAAGACAGAATCTCAGCACCTCAAACAAAACCTGTGTGCTGACAGCCCGCACAGGAGAAGGCAAGGGCTGGCTGCGGGGTGTCTGACACCTGAAAACGGGCAGCCTCGAAAGGGCTAGCTGGTACTACTGACAGCAGGGCGGGCCCCTTTGAGAAGAGCAGGTGGGATGGGGGGAGTTGTTCCTTCTCCAGTAGGGGTGAGTCCACAGGGCTATTGCAAAGCAGGAGGGTCTGGAGCCGACTAGCCCCTCTGAACTGGACAATGACCAGCTGGGATTCTCTTCCAGGATTGGGGCCTTCATTGAAGAGTGAAATAAAAATTGAGCAGAATGGACCTAAGTAAGACGTAGTGGACATCAACCAAGTGCAATATATGAATCTTTAGATTCTTATTTTAACAAACCAAGTGGGAAAAAAAGTTTAGACAGTGGGATGATTTGAACACTGACTAGATATTTTGTATTCAATATTTGTTGTTAATTTTTACATGTGATAAGATGTGTACAAGAAAGTTTCCTCGTCTTTTAGAAATTCATAATAAAGTATTTGTGGATAAATTGATGTATCAGGGCTTTAATTTAAAATAACTCTGGGGCTGGGGTGGGGGGACATGTAGATGGAACAAGATTTGGCCAAGTGTCTATAATTGAAGTTGGTAAATGGATATATGGAACCTATTTTCTCCAGGTTCTGCAGAACAGTCTTGTACCACCAACCTTGGTGGGCTTGGATGCAAGTTAAGAATGGATAACAAATTTTGACTTCCCATAGAATTTCTTAGTCCTTTTAGGCCTAGTCATTTATTTTTGGGAGTGTTGTTCTTTGGGACGCTTAAGAATTACCTAAGAATAAAAAAGTAAGTTACTTGCCAGCTTTAGAGAATCTTCTAAATAATATTATTAAAAATTATCAAGCAAATCCCAAGTTGAGAATGTTATTTCACTTTTACATTACCAAAATCCAAGGAGGTGTACTGTTCTTAGAGTCCAGACCTAGCTCTTCCCCCAGATATGCTTATTTGGCATCAGACTTATCAGAATTGGGGATGTGATGTTAATCCTTTATTATTTTGAGGCCTGGCAATCTTGAGAATGTTTAGCTTGTACTGTTGTAGCTGATTTTCTATATATGGTTATTTTTTTCAGGAGTAGACTGATGCCTTCTGGATAATAGGAGGCCTCTTTAGTCTGAGGTCATCAAAGTATTGCTTAGTACATGCTATACTAATTGTCCCAAAGGGACACTTTCCCAGATACTTAACCATACACTCAGGTGGTGATTAGACCTTGACTTATAGTCATAAATAGCCATTGGGTGTAGCTTAAAACGGACTTAATCTTGGTGGAAAATGAAGCAGCAGCTAAAGAAGATTTTACTGTGTTCCATAGTTTTGATTTGCAAACATCATTTCATATTGCTTGTACATTTTTCCTCTATGCACATCTTGACTTTTTTTTTTTTTTTTTTATCTTTTTGTCTGTCTAGGTTTGGAGCAAGTATGTTAAGAAGTTGGGTGATTTTGCTAAGCCAGAGAATATTGACTTGGCTGTGCAGTGTATGAATGAGCTTATAACCAATGCACTACGCCACATTCCAGATGTCATCACCTACCTTTCTAGACTTAGAAACCAAAGTGTGTTTAACTTTTGCGCTATTCCTCAGGTATGGAATAGGGCTGTGTTTGCTGTATGGGAGATAGAAGTTAACGGGAGTGGTGTGGTGCCGAGGGGGGTGGGTGGAATGCATCTACTGTTTTGGTCTGTTGTGTTCAGGAATACGGTTCTTTACAAAGATGACTCTAGTTTATTTTCTTTGGCTGGGAGGCAGGCAATGTTTCACAATACTTCCCCTTTGCTTTACAAGCACCACACACAGCTAAGCCTCTAGCTCAGTGGTTCTCAACCTCCTAATGCTGTGACCCTTTAATATAGTTCCTCATGTTGTGGTGACCACCAACCGTAAAATTATCTTTGTTGCTACTTCATAACTGTAATTTGGCTACTGTTATGTCTTAGGTGACCCCTGTGCAAGGGTCGTTTGACCCCCAAAGGGGTCGCAACCCACAGGTTGAGAACCACTGCTCTAGCTGAAGTCTGTTCCTTGCCTAGATGTATGGGGAGTGCTGAGTAGGTGAAGCTCTTATTAGAAGTCTTAATTATTAAACACCTAAAATTTGCTGTTCTTTTCTTAGACTCAGGCCAACAGAACCTGATCCTATGGACCTAGCCCCTTGATATTTTTAGGAGCTTACACTTTATTTTTTTAAAATATGTTTTTCTTGATTTTTTAGAGAGAGAGAGAGGAATGGGGGAGAGAGATAGAAACATGGATGTGAGAAACATTGATCGGCTGCCTCCTCCATGCCCCCTACTGTGAATTGAACCTGCAACCTGGGCATGTGCCCTTATTGGGAATCCAGCCAGGACCTTTCAGTCCATGGGACGATACTCAATCCACTGAGCCACACTGGCTGGGCTAGAAGCTTACACTTTAAAATACCTTTACCACCCTGACCGGTTTAGTTAGAGCATCAGCCCTCAGACCAAAGAGTCGTGGGTTCGATTCTGGTCAGGGACATGTACCTCAGTTGTGGTTAGTTCCCCAGCCCTGGTTGGGGTCATGCAGGAGGCAGCCAGTCGATGTGTCTCTTTCACATCGATGTTTCTTTGCTCGTTCGCTCTCGCTCTCTCTCTCTCTCTCTCTCTCTCTCTCCCCCTCCTACTCAATCTAAAGATAAATGGAAAAGTATCCTCCAGTGAGGATTTAGAAATGAATAAAATAAAATGCCTTTACCAATTTCAGTTTTTAACTCAACTAAGTAAAGAAAGTTACAGGATTTAACTGATTTGGAAACTTGGTTTGATCTTGTTCTGATAGCCAATCTCAAATGGTTGTTGGAACTAAGACCTGTATGCCTGACTTAGATTTTCATTTGTCCTAGAATTAATTTACTTCGAGCATGGGAAACTACCTTCTGTTTTCTTTCTCTCCCTTGCCCCATGCTATTTTTAATGTATAACAATTATGTTCATTGTAAGAAAAATAGAAAAATCTTATCAGATATTATTTTTTTGAGATTAATTTTCAGATCTAATAATTCATTGCCCTAGCATGGGAACTTTTGCATTGGTTTGTGTTTGTTTTTTCCAAATAAAAAAAGAACTTTTGAGGCTAAACTGTAGAATTATTTAAGACTGCAATGACTACTTGATTGTTCTGTGTTGTTGAGAAAGGGCGGAAGGAGTGGGAAAGGTAAAAGTATTGACATGCTTTCTGTTTTTTCAATCACCCGAGGATATTTTTCCATTTATCGTCAGATTCGTCAGATAGAGTGGGAGGGAGGGAGGAAGAGAGAGAAAGAAACATTGATGTGTGAGGGACACATCGATTGGTTGCCTCCTGCATGACTCCAATCAGGGCTGGGGATGAACCCGTGACTCTTTGGTCCGTGGGCCAACACTAACCACTGAGCCAAACCGGCCAGGACTTGATGTGCTTTCTTCAGGGGAATTTTTCTTGGTTACTTACATCTTGGCTCTTTGGCAGCTCTTTTTTATTCTATAGATTTTCTTACCTTCTCATGATGATGATTGCCTATAGCACCTGTTCTTTCTTTTGTTTTATGAGATGAAATGAATTAGTGTTTTGTTTTGTGTTTCCTGTCTGCTTGTCTAGGTAATGGCCATTGCTACTTTGGCTACCTGTTATAATAATCAGCAGGTGTTCAAAGGGGTAGTGAAGATTCGAAAAGGACAAACAGTAACCCTAATGATGGATGCCACCAACATGCCAGCTGTCAAAGCTATAATAGACCAGTATATGGAAGAGGTGAGTTGTTATTGAACTATAGTGTTCAGTGATTCAAACATGTCATATTTGGGTATTAGATGATCCTAACAACTCACTCTGTTGTGGCGAAGGATATAGGAGCTGCACAGGACTTTGGTGGGGCGTTAAATGAAGCAAGGCTGGAATTCCTAAGCAGAATCATAGTTTTTGAGCTAGGAGAGATGTTAGAGGCCAACCAGTCTTCTTGTTTACAGGTGAGGAGTGTGAAGCTGAGGCTTGTGTATGCTAATACATTGTCCAACTGAATGGTTCTTGGACCCCAGTTCTTATTTCCTGACACCAGTCAGTACTTTCTATTACATCATGGGCCTCAATTGAGTAAACCATAGTAGGAAATTTTGGCAAGGGAAACTGTCAGGTTGCAGTTATTTCTCTTTTCTAATGTAAATCCCATTTTGAATGCCAAAACCGTCTTATAAAACCAAACATGGTGGTCTAAGTCAAATCTCTAATAAAATATGACTAGGTTCAAAAGAAATTCTTTTTGGAGGCTAGAACTCTCTAATGGCTAGGCCCTAGAGTGGTGGTCCTCAAACGGAGATAATTTTGCTTCTCCTCTCCCCCCAGGGGACATTTAGTAATATCTGGACATGTTTTTGATGGTCACAATTGGGGGGGTGCTCCTGCCATCTGGAAATTGGAGGCTTTTGCCTTTTTTCATCTAGTCTGTTGCCCATCCCATAGATGGTCTTGTTCTAAGCTGTGTCTGCTAGTTTTCCAGTGTTATTTCCCATTCTTCATGGTATTCTACTTCAGCCTAAAAACCATGCCAATATACCAAGCACCTACTGTGCACCTGGTTCTGGGAGGTGTGGGGATGGACGATCGGTGAGGACCAGGTAGCTCCTGGTGCAGCATGGCTCAGGCCGCCCTGCCTGCCCCATAGGCGGGCTTTGGGATTGCACAGGTCTGGGTTGACAATCCTGCTTTAATAGTGGAGTGAGTTGGGGTTATTACTTCATGTTCTGTTTCTTCTTTGGTAAAATGGGCATAACATCCCTGTTTGGGGTTGTTGTAAGAAGTCAACACAGAATATGTGTTGAAAGGTCCTGGGGCTCAGCCTGGCCGGTGGCTTAGTGGTTGAGCGTCAATAGGTTGCCGGTTCTATTCCCAGTCAGGGCACATGCCCAGGTTGTGGGCCTGATCCCCAGTGGGAGGCATGCAGGAAGTGGCCAGTCGATGTTCTCGCTCATTGATGTTTCTCTCTCTCTCTCTCTCTCCCTTCCTCTCTAAAAATCAATACAGAAAAAAAAATTTTTTTTTTAAAGGTCTTGGGCCCTGGCTGGTTTAGCTCAGCAATTAGAGTGTTGGCCCGCAGACCAAAGAATCTCGGGTTCAATTCTGGTCAAGGGCACGTGGCTCAGTTGCGGTTCCTCCCCGGCCCTGGTCGGAGTCCTGTGGGAGGCAGCCAGTCGATGTGTCTCATGTCGATGTCTCTGTCTTTCTGTCTCTCTCCCACCCTATCTGAAGATAAATGGAGAAATATCCTCGGGTGAGGATAAAAATAAAAAAGGGGACTCAACAAGTAGCACTTACTGTGTTTTCCTTTCTTTAACAGATCTATCATAGAATCCCCGACTCAGACTCATCTTCTAGTAAAACAAAGGAGACCATCTCCACGATTAGGGCACAGAATCTTCCCAGTTGTCAGCTGATCTCCCGAAGCCAGTACTCCCCCGTTTACCTGTCATTTCTCATGCTCTTGGCTGCCCTGAGCTGGCAGTATGTGAGCACCCTGTCCCAGGTCACAGAAGACTATGTCCAGACCGGAGAACACTGATTTGTTTATGGTGAAATAGACTGACCTTCGGTCAAGGATGATTTTGGCTTCCCCCCTTTTTTCCCTTCCTGCTTTAATCCTGTAAGAACTTTGTGGGCTTGGACCTCAAGAAACTATGACATGCAGCTGAGAAGATAAACGAAGATACTGTACCCTCAGCACCTGGTCTCTGAAGGCGGTGCTGGTCTGCACGTGGCAGCTGGTGGAGCACTCAGGCTGCAGGCCGCAAGTTGCTGCATGTGGGACTGCTGGAGGCCCCGGCTGCATCCGGCTGCGTAATGAAATGTATTTAACTTGAAGCAGGCTTTGAACACCTATCCTAGTAGAAAAGTGAATTTTCTTTATGTTTGTTTCCTGTTTTTCTCATGATATTGTTTTCTTCGCTTGATTTGAATGTAGTAGCTGTGAAGTTGATAGACCTAGGTAATTTTTCTGTGTTTCCAAAGAATGTGGACTGTCTTCTGCACATAAAAGCTATGAATTAACTTCTGGGTGTGCTGGTATTATTTTCTTCTTTACAGAGGTTAGAAAGATCGCCTTGGCCCCATTGTTGGAGACTGGTCTCCAGTTAAGGCTCATGTTTTTGAGAAGGTTTGTATAACGAATTGAATTACTCTGCATTTGTCAAACGCAGTTCATTTGAAAACCTGGGTGAGTGTGGCAGATAAGGAACTCGAGAATGGAGTTAGTGCTTGAGGGACAGATGGCCATCTGCTGTCCCCACAAAGCCACCCAGAGCAGTAGCAGAAGGGGCGCAGCTGCCTGGCCCCTGCTGGGAAGGACAAGCGTGCGGCCTCCTGGCTCCAGCTGAGGCCTGCGTGAACTGCTAGCCTGCTCTGACTTTGGCCAGGTCTCTCAGCTGCATTCAGTGTTTTAAATTCAGCTTTTGTTCCTCTTAGTTCCTAGTTTATACACTCAAGTTTCAAGAACAGCAAAAGCTGTGTGCAGGGGATTGGATTGAAAGCCAAGTGGGATGTGGCATCCTCCTAGCATGTGTTTAATCTTCCTTCTTACCCAGCAGTGACAGACTCGCCTGTGACTCGCTGAGATCTCAGCTTGGACTGGGGAGGACGTGTTTGAAAAAGCCCCTTAGGCTGAGAATCACTGTTGTAGGGCATTTAAGTGCTTTCTAGAAACTGTTAGTGCCCTCACTGTATATAGTCTAGTCTACTCCTTTATCGCAGTCCTGTATGTAGTGACTTTGAGGTTTGTCCAGCACTAGTGTTGGATTTGCAGTGTTATACACACACCCACACCGATTTCCCTCCTGTGACCTCCCCCCATCTGACAGTGTGCTTAGTTTTTCAGTCCATGGTGGCTTCAGTTATTTGGTTCATTTGAGGCTGTCCTGGACAAACTAAACTGACTTGTCATGTACCTACCATACAGCTATGAGTCAAACTGAATAATAATCTTCCAAGAAGTTTAAAGCATCAAAACTTGGTTTGAGATTCCAATGTAGGTGTTAAAATTTTGTGTGTTGAAATCTAAGATTAGTTCTGCTTAAGTTCATGGTGGACAGAGCCTTGGTCCGAGGTGGACATACTGGAAGCTTCTCTCGTGGCTCAGTCTGAGCTTCTGTGTGGTTTAGGTGACCTCCAAGGTCCCTCCCAGCTGGAAAGCCATGGAATTTTTACTGTCATGACTTGTGCAGAGGCTTAGATCTCATGCCCACTCCTACATTCTCAGGCAGAACGTTTCAAACCCAGATCAACTTGGATTTCAGATCAGCTGTTTTTTAAAAGTATAATTATACCCCAAATATTTCATGGGACAGTTAATAAAGTATATAGCATTCCTGGCACATAGTCTACTTGATTCCTCCTTACAGTGGAATAATTTAAGTTTTCCTCAGAGGAGTAGCTGAGGTGATGTGGTGATGACCATCGGCGGTAATTGGAGGTTTATTAAAGTATTGATACTGATGCCAATAGTACAATTCTTTTATTTTCTAACAAAGACTCCTTAAGCCAAGTGTGAAGATGACCTGTAGTGCATTTGATTACATCACTTAGCACATCTCTACTGGCTTCCATGGTGAGGGTGGAGTTGCAGAGATGGTGGAGGTAGGAGCAAGTCGTGGAAATGGAATTATTCAACTCAGTTGGGATAGGTAGAATGCGGAACTTCACTGAGGTTATGAACATACTCTAATTGAAATGTTAAGAATAAAATGGTTATGAATTTGTAGCCTTGGTAACCCTTGTTAAACATTTCATAAATGCTATGAGTTTCACATATTTTTCCTACAATATTCACTGGGTGTTTAAGAGCTTATTTTAGGAGCTTCTGATTTGTGACTTCTGAGTCGCATCAGAAGTCAAACTTTGCATGATTTTGGGAAGAGCTAGTCCAACCCGCAGTTGCCAAAGGGAAATATCTACAGGCCAGAGGGACAGGTGCCAATTCATTTCCTCTGTTCCTTCAAGAACCAGTGAACTCCGTTGCTTATGATTCTTACCTAGGCCTGTCCAAAGGGATAGTTCTTAACCAGCAGTGAACCAGTCATAGGGAGCTCTCAAAGCAGCGCACACAGGCTCTGCCTCCACCCCATTCCTGCACTGAGGGTGCCAGGGAAAGCTGGTCCTCCAGCAGGATACTGGGCTATGACATCAAGTCACCATACCCACATGAATCCTTCGGTTGCTGTGGTTTGTCGTTGGCCAAAAAATAAAAAATTGAATACAACTGTGTTCTTATCGCTTTAAGCAGGACCAGAGCTCATCAAGGCCTGGGGTCACATTTTGGGGATGCATTTACAGAGAAGGTTTGATGAGAGTGACAAGGAACTAAAAGAATCCATGGTTTGAAAGGATGCTGGAGCAGTGAGAAGCTAAAATTATTTACTTTGTTCTCCCAAACTGAAACAAGATAGCCCTGGTTAGTTAGTTTAAAGAGCACCCAGATCCATGGGACCGTGATTCTTTCTGGGGGATAAAGACAGACAGCAGCCACAAGTCTACAGACAGTGACAAATGACCTTTGACATCCCACCAGGACAGACTTTACATTGAAGGAGAAACCTTTTATTGGCACAGTCATTCCTTTCCTTGTTAAATTTAATAGGATGCAGCAGTGATTTTTAAACAATCAGAGCCAGTTTCTCCCACACTATTTTCACTGTTGTATTAGAGGTCGGTAGGCCAGTCAAATCAAGCCTACCCAGTTTTGTTTTAAGGAGACTAACTACAACAGCTCTTCCAACTATTAAGACTATCATTCTCATGATCAGCTGAAGTGCACAAAAAAATACAACTTCTGTTTGAAAGGAATCATGCCAAGGACAAGATTGGAGCAGGTTAGCAACACCAAAGCTCAATAGAAGCAGGGGCCCCAGGAGAGTGGCTTTTTCCAAAGGGCTGCCCGCTATTTCTCTTCTCAACCTATTTCCAAATCTAGAAAGCTACTTGCTTGGAGGTATTGCTGATGGGTGGGAAGCTATCTTGTTAGGAAATCCACTTTTCATTCCTTTGGAAAAATCTACAAACCCTTTAGGTCATGCTCCCGGTGATGCACAGATGGGGAAGGATGAAAGATGGTGGAGGTGGTTGGAGCAAGAGCCAGAGCAGCACTAGTCTAAGGGGGAAGGACTTGCTTTGCTTATAACTGTGGCTTGTGTGGTGTAAGTGCATTGTGACAAAAGTCCACTGAATGGGCTGGGAGGTAGCCAGGCCCTGGACGTGTCTCCTTAGAAGACAGCTGTCATGGTAGACACGAGGTTTGGCCCAATCCAGTCCTTCAGGCCCTAACACCCATTTGAACTAAGAGAACAAAAGGCATTCCTATCCCTCATCTCATCCCCAGCCCCACTGGCTATATTCAGGGAAACATTGCCCCAGGGCTGTCTGGAAGGGCCCACGGCAGGTTAGATCCTTCTCCAGTACTGCTCAGTGCACGGGAGTCCAGCCACGATTTCCGATTCAATTCCACAGTGATCCTGTCCTCTGAGGATTTTAAAGAAGCCTGGAAAGCAAAAGTAAGATGCCTTTAAAATGTTGTGGTCCTTGCCAACATATTCAGACTCATCCTGGAAAGGCCCAGGAGCGGAAGTCACCAAACAGACACAAGCCGCGCCAGGGTGCTCTATCAGCTTCTACTGTTGGCCCCGCAGCCCAGCTCCACAGCATGAGGCCTCTGGATGCTACTTCCATGCAACCCCATGGCACCTGCTTCCTACCACCCTCAAGATCAGAAACCTCAGCCCACAGGCACCTGGACATCTGGAAGGTCACAGCCAAGCCCGAGGCCTAGGTTTGGAGCTGTGCAGTGGGTAGAGCAGAGAAAGACATCTCTGTTCTGGCTCACACACCCTATTCTTAGGAAAGGAACAGCCACTGACCATTGTCACCCCAGTCGGTGTTCCAGGAGTTGCCAACCAGCCAGTAGGGGGTGTCATTCTCCACTCCCCAGCCCAGGATGCGGACCGCATGGCCTCCCACCATCTCTCCAGTAACATGTTGGTACACGCCTGAGAAAGGAAAAAACCAGTTCAGCTTGAGTCCCTGCCACTGCCCCATACCTCACAGCATCCCTCCAACTCAGCTGGCTACCCCGGTCAGGACAAACAGGGCCCCGGGAGCCCAAAAGGCCTACCACTGTTTTCAGACCAGGCTCTGTATTCAGGAATTACTTAAATATATTTTTGAAAGCCCAATACACAAATATGTTGAGTAAACATTAAAATGGAGTCCAACAAAACATGCCTATGGTTGCCCTTAAAACTAAAGTTATAAATTCTAATTTAAGAGAAATTTAATGTTAAGATACCAATGATCTGTTGCACATACTGGGACTGCATGTAACGAGTGATGTACAGAAAGCAGTCTGTGGCTGAGAGTTCAGCTGCTGCTCTGCAGTCACCGGAGAGGTGATGGGAGACTGAGCCAGTGGTGGTCGATGGAGAGCGACACTGGCTAACGTGCCCAGGGGACTGGCCAGCCCTTGTGAGTCACTGTTGAGCTGGAAATGTATTCTTTTATAACATGGCTGGAGACTGTGATAAGAACTACCAGCTTTATAGTATTTTTTCCTCGCCAGAATCATCTTCCTTTGTCCAATCCTTGTTTATAGGAGTTGAGAGCTTTGAAGTTTTCAGTCTAGCAGAATGTACATGAGAGAAGCGCTCAGCACAGAGAGCTCCCGGGCCCAGGACAGGCCTGGTCCCTGCTGCCTTGCACGCAGCAGGTGTCCCCCGATTCTTCCTCCCCTGAGTGGAAGGCATGATGTTAGGGCTTTGTCAAGAAAGGATGAATAAAGCGGGTCACTCAGTCCAGACACATAAAGCCTGCAGTTACGATGTGATGAGTATGCTGATGAAGCAATGGAGGTGTACGGAGGCGAACAGAGGCGAACAGAGGTGGGAGCCAGAGGCCCGAGGGAGGTGAGGAAAGGCTTTCCTGAGGAGACATTTGAGCTGGCTATCAAGGGATGAGTGAAATGAGCAGGACTTGGCCCTACAGAAACACTCTGGAGAGGGATCTGACTAGCACATGCAGAAGAGGCAAACAGGTGCAAGAAAGCAGAGCAGGGGCAGCTGCTGAGAGCAGGGGCCAGCTGCTGAGGGGTCTGCAGAGCAGGGTGAGGGGAGGCCTGACACCCTCCTTCTGGACATCCTGCCTCCTCCTCTGATTAAATCCTGCTGCCCCCTGAACCCAGACCTCCCTTCCCCGTTGCCATCGGAGCCAATACACACCGGACTTGTACATCAGGAAGTCTGAGTACACGGAGAAGGCTGCCTCCACCGGGCCGTTTTTGTAGATCTCTGCCATGATCTCCTTCTCGCTGCTGGGGACGCTGTAGGACTGGCACCCTGGCAAATGAACCAGCAAGTGAGGTGAGGCATGCCCTCTGTAGCTCCATCCCTGATGGGGCGCCACCACGTGGAGACTGAGCATCGAGGGGACCTGCCCAGTCTGGGAGGGGGGCCAGGTGGGACCAGCGGGGTGGTGATCAAGGGCCCCCTCAGGGAAGAGTGACTGGGCTGGATCTGGAAGCTGAGAAGCGGGAGGATGTGGCCTTGAAAGCAGAATGGGACCCAGGAGGACTAGGCTAGGTCACTCCCCTGTAAAACAAGGGGGTTGGTCCCCTCCAACTCTGAAGGTCTGATTCTTAAAACAACATTCCTGAGATGGAATTCAGGGTGGAGACAGAAAACACAACAGGTAGGCAAGAGGCATGCATGCCCTTCCTTTATCCATCCCGTGTTCCTGACTCTTAAGGTTCAGTTGCCCTGGCCTCCTCCTTTGGCTTGGGAAGGCTGTCAGTGGGTCTCAGGCCCGGCGTACTTACCAAAGTGTTTGTCGTCTTTGTAGGATGGGGTGTAGCCCGGCTCACAAATCTTGCTGCACTTGGGGGTGTCCCCCCCCTCCCCTGAGCATGAGGGCCGAGAGCCATTCACATGGTGCTCACAGGGAGGGATGGAGTAGGGTCTGCAACCTGGGGGGACCAAGTAGAAAGAAGAGTATTGGCCAATGGCCCCTACAGAGGCCCCTAAGTCTAGAAAGAATCAGGACGACAACTGATCTTCAAGTCTGCAGCTTGGGTCTGTTCTCCCCTGTTGCTGATTCTGCCTTGTGAGAGGACTGGCTTGTCTTTCTACCCCATTCTTCAGCCCAGCCCTCTTGCCCTCAACCCTCAACCTTCTCTAGGGTGGAAAATGAGACCACTATTATTCACTGCTTAAAAATCCATCTGGCTAGATAGGGACTCAGGGCAGACACTCACCTACATGGGAGTCATAGAGGCCACCGGAAACCAGGCCTTTTTTTGTCCAGAAGTTCCAAGCGCCGGAGGGAAAGCCCCCATTACAGCTAAGAAAAGAGCCATTCATTAAGTCACCATGCGAGAGGTGCTATCTGCTCCCAGACCACTGCCCAGTGGAACCACCATGCCTTTAGCAACTGGCCCAGCAGTTCTCCAGATCCTAACAGACCCCCAGTTCATCCTCCCCTGGACTGTCCCTTCTTCCAGAGACTCACCCAAGCTCTCTGCCCCACCCACCAAGACCCTCAGGAAGACAGAAGGACGCTCATCTTCCTGTCTACACCAACCCAGGTTGTGTCCTTTCTAAACCAGGGATTCCCAATCAGGGAGCACACAGAATTCCCCTGGGGTACTTACAAAACCACCAGTGCCAGAAATTCTAACTTAATTGGTGTGGGGTCAGGCCCCAACACACCTTTTTTTTAGAGGGCAGCAACCCAGGCAGTGAGACCAATCTGGGGAACCATTATCCTTAACTACAGACAAGGAAGCAGGCCCTGAGGCCACTATATTTCCCTGCGCAGAAAAAGGGAACAAGGATGAAAAAAACCAGACCTGAGATTAGAAATCTGACCACACATCCTGAGCCCATCTGTTTTGCCCAGACGCCAGCACCCACATCCAGCCGTGTGGGGCCAGCTTTCTGACTCCCCTGATCACCACAGGGCCCAGACCACATCCGTCCTGAAGGAGTACCACTCCCACCCCAGGGAGCCGCAGTCGGCCTCACCTGAGGGGGTCTCAGCCCAGGGTCTCCCTGGTGCCTTTCCCTGGGTAGAAGGTGTTGCCTCAGACTCACCCTTCCCCACACTGGAAGCCACAGCAGGTGAGCAGGTCCTCAGCAGACACCTCCACACTGACATGCCCATTGGTGAGGATGCAGATCCGGTCAGAAATGGCTTCCACAGCTCCAAATGCCTGCAGAAACAAGCCCCACCCAGGTAAGCCCCACTTCTGGGATGTGGGACCCCCAGCCACCATCTAGGAGGACCAGAGGGGCCACCTCAGACCTTCTTGGTGGCTAGTCATTTTCAGCAGCAGGTGAGGGTCCTGGCACTCAAGCTTAGCTTTAAAATTCAGTCCTCCCCAAACCACTCTACCTGGGCACTCAGTTCATTTCTGAAACATGTGGGGTTTTTTGTTTGTTTTTTTAATCCTCACCCAAGGACATTTTTGCACTGATCTTCGGAGAGAGCAGGAGAGATAGAGGGAGGAAGAGAGAGAAACATTGATGTGAGAGACACATCGAGTGGCTGCCACCCACACGACCCCAACCAGGGCTAGGGACAAACTGCAGCCGAGGTACGCACCCTTAGCGGGAACCGAACCCGGGACTCTCTGGTCTGCAGGCCGACACTCTAACCACTGAGCCAAACTGGCCAGAGCTGAAACACAGCTCCTGGTCTGGTCAATATGGCTCAGTGGTTGAGTGTCGACCCAGGCACCAAGAGGTTGTTGGTTCGATTCCCAGTGAGGACACATGCCCAGGTTGTGGGCCTGATCCCCAGTGAGGGGCATGCAGGAGGCAGCCAATTGATGTTCTCTCTCATCGATGTTTCTATCTCTCTCTCCTCACTTCCTCTCTGTAAAATCAATAAAAGGAAAAACAAAAAAACATAAAAAACACAGCTCCCACAAAGGACAAATATTCTATGATTTCACTTCTATGAGGCAGCCAGACTAGTCAAAGTCATAGAGACAGAAAGTAGAAGTGTGGTTGCTGAGGGCTGAGGAGAGAGCAGATGGGGTTGTCAGTGTTTAATGGGGACAGAGTTAAGTTTTGCAAGATGGCAAGAGCTGTGTGGATGGATGGTGTTGATGGCCACACAATGTGAACATACTTAATGCCACTGAATTGTGCAAGAAAGAATGATTTAAGCCCTGGTCCGTGTGGCTCAGCTGGTTGCGCGTCATCCCATACACCAAAAGGTGGAGGGTTCAATTCCTGGTCAGGGCACATACCCCAGTTGCAGTTTCAATCCCTGGTTGGGGAGCGTGCGAAAGGCAACCGATTGATGCTTCTCTCTCACATAGATGTCTATCTCTGTCTTTCCCACTTCCTCACTCTAAAATGAATTTAAAAAAAAAAAAAAAAAAGCCCAACCAGAGTGGCACAGTTGGTTTAGCATCATCCCATACACTGAAAAGCTACCTGTTCGATTCCCGGTCAGGGCACATACCTGGGTTGCAGGTTTGATTCCCAGAGAACAGATGGAGGGCAACTGACTGACGTTTCTCTCTCACATCAATGTTTCTCTCTCTCTCCTTCTCCCCCTCCTCTCTGTAAGCATGTCCTCAGGTGAGGATTAAAAAACAACAAAAATGATTAAGATGGTTAAATTTATATTGTGTATTTCTCCATGGTTAAAAAACAAAATTAAGACAGCTCACTGAGTCTTCATGGTGCAGAGTAGAGATCAAAACTAATAGTTGGGCTAATGGCTCAGGACAGCATGTCAAATAGAGAAATAAAAACACTTCACAGCCCACACACAGGCAGTGCCCTGTGCAGGGCGTTCTGTGTATTCCTTCTTCCACCTAGTCCTTGCAATAATTCTTGGCCATAAGGATCTCGATTATTTTTATATTAGTGGAGACTGAGACTCAGTAACATGCCCAGTCACGATAGGTCCAACCCCAACTCCCCTGGTCACTCCCGGCATCCCCCCCCTCCGGGCCAGCAAGGCCTCACCCAGCAGGAGCCACAGGAGCCCTGGTCTCTGATCTCCTTGATGGTTGGGCAGTTCGGCCACTGTTCCCGGGCATCGAAGTTTTCAGGCAGAACTATATCATCAGCAAGCCAGACTCTGGATAAAGGAAGGTCTTTGTTATAAGCTCGCCTGTGCCGTCCATGCCCCCCCTTACCCCCCGGCCCAGGCCAGCAGACTGCAGGCCGTCCCCTAGAAAGAGAGTGAGGCACACAACATACAGAAGAGGGATGTCCTCTTGAATTTTAGATAACAAAACCTGATTCCACTGGTTTTGAACACAACATATCATTTCACGTGCCTCTTTCTCAATTTATTTCATGGGTATTTTTCAAGAGTTTCAGCCACAGGGTCCAGACAATTGTTGCTTGCTTCCCCGGCCCCACTCCCAATCATCAGACTCTGCCCAGACTCCTCACCATGTGCAACGTCCCATAACTTCACTATCCCATCCTCACTGTTCGGTTTTTCTAATGCTTCCTACAAGAGTAACAATGTCTACATGAAAAATGTCCAGAGTTTTCTAGAAAAATGAAACACGAATGGCAGATCACTTGGCTTTTTCTAGATTTTCCTTATTCAAGATTGGACCCATTCAGATTGTAGAGACCCAGACCTGGAGCCTTTCCCACTGGGGCTCCGAGCCACCTGGAGAAGCCAAGCAGGAAACACTGGCATTCGGGAGCCCTGCCCCGAGTATCGTTTCTGGGAAAAGTGAGACCTGCGGATGCCAGGGAGGCCTTCTCTCTTCCCTCCTTGCCACTGTTCCCAACAAACACCTGCTACTCATGCCACAGGGGGTGGGCACTTACCTCTGGGGCAGCTTGGGCCCACCCAGTTTGGTGCCACATAGTCTCTTCACGTAGCTCAGTTCCACATTGTGGAAGTTGTGTCCAGCCTGGAAGAGAGCCCATCCGCACCAGTCACCCACCGTAGAGGGCGTGTTTCCAGGGACAGAGTGGATGAGAATAGGCTCGCTGCTCACACGCAAGGCCTGACAAGGCCAGGGGTCCCTTCCAACCCAGTCTGGCCTACAGCTCCAGACCAAATTTCCCCCAAGTTCATGTTGAAACCTATCAGCAATGTGCAGACACCTGGAGGTCCGCCTCCGAGAGGTGCTTAGATCATAAGGGTGGAGTCCTCAGGAAGGGGATTAGTACCGGGATTAAAGAAACCTGAGAACTCCCCTGCCCCCCCCACCACATGAAGACACAGAAACCAGCCCTCCACAAGCTGGAAGAGGGTCCTCACTAGACCCTGAGCACGCTGGCACCTTGATCCTGTACTTCCAGCCTCCAGAACTATGAGCAATAAATTTGTTTAAAAGCCACCCCATGCATGACGTTCTGTGACAGCAGCCTGAAGAGACTAAGGTGGGCACCCTGAAGAACAGGCCAGGACCAGCCAGAGGGACCGGGTGAGCAGCATGCAGCTCTCAGGCTAGTGGTATCTCCTCTTTTTGCAGATGTCAAGAGAGAGCCCCCCGCAGCCCTGAACATGACCTATTCCTCATTTCTTGCTTCCCGAAGTCCCAGGCCTCAGGGCTAGACAGAATCAAGGAGCTGGACGCACTGATGAGCTGTAACACCTACCATGGTGGAGCTCATAGGATACCTAGTTATGAACACTTCCAAAGCTTGTTCATCCCCCATGCTCACACACAGGATGGACACACACACACACAGAAGGGGGGCAAGGAGGAGGTAGGCATGGTCTTGAGAGGCTATGACTTTGAATCAGATTTTCAATTGTCGCGGGGGCCACAGTGCAGCCACCTCGGCTGGGAGCCGGAGTGCCCAAAGACCCTTGGGAGGGACACATGCAGTAAGCGGCCCCCACAGCCCACCTTCCATGTAGTGTTCCGTTTGTTAACATAGTTGAGCAGCTCATCTGACAGGGGCTGGAAATGGAGCTGGCTCCGTGCACTGGTCAGCACCACCAGGCAGCTGAGGGTGGCCAAGAGCTGCCACATTTTGGAAGCCTGATCCTAGATTCACCTAGAAAGGAAAGGACACAAGACATCAGAGGCTGCTCCTCCTTCCCTCAGTTCAAGCGCTCAACGTACAACAAGGGGGCCCTTTCGGGCAGCATGGTTCTGGGGCCAGAACGGCCGCTTGTCCTCTTCTGTTCCTCAGTTTCCTCTTTTGTCAAGCCTGGGCGTGGCCACTGAGAGCTCTCCAGGACCTGCAGTCCCAGTGGGCCCTGGGCCTCTTCCCAGAGTACCGACCTGTGCCGAGCCACGGTCTGACTATTCCGTGCCCCCAAATTCATGTGGAAATCCTAACCCCCAATGTAATGGTATTAGGACTTGGGGCCTTTCGGAGGTGATTAGGTCATGTGAGTGGAACCCTCAGAAATGGGATGAGTGCCCTTATAAAAGAGACCCCAGAAAGACCCCTTGCTCCTTCCAACATGTGAGCATAGTGGGAAGTCTATGACCAGGAAGGGGGCCCTCACAACCATGCTGGCGCCCTGATCTGGACTTCCAGCCTCCAGGCTGTGAGAAATGAAAGAATGTTTAGAAGTCACCCAGTCTGTGGTATTCTGTTGGAGCAGCCTGAATGGGCTGAGACAGACCACGTGTGCTTCTCCTACAGGTGGCCGGGAGCCAGGACAGAGAAAGCGGAAGGGCTGTGTTGCCTGCAGTGAGGCCCTGTGCAGCTGGGGCCTGGTGATGCGTGCTGCCCGGGTCTCCAGGGCTGTCGCTCGGAGCAAGGGCTGAGCTCACCGTCTGAAATGGTGTTGTTCACTGGATGGTGTGGCCCAGACTATCTTGTGAGCTGTGAGGACATGGGCTGACTTGCTGTCTGTTGAAACCCCAGGGCCCGAGCCACAAGCAGTATGAATGAGCCTGCCCTACATGAATGAATCCATCTACATCTTCAGGTTTAATTGAGTCTGGTGCCCTCTCTGCTATGGCCAATCTGCCTCTCCACGGATTTGTAGGAAAGTTGAGACTTTTCCCAAGTGATTGCTCTGAAAGAGCCAACAGTCTATCCGTGTGCTGAGGCTGGCATGTGCCACCCTCCGGAGAGCCAGGGAGGCAGGGCTGGTCTGGCCAGTGGCAACCATCTCCTGGGATTTTTTCCGGGTGTTGCAGTCAGCCAAGGGCCCTCCTTCCAGTTCCAGAGATGGGGCTTCCAGAAAGGGAAACCACCACATCCCAACCGCAACCCTTAGTTCTGGGACTGGCTTGTGACTCATAGACAGCGATTTCCAGCTCAGTCTCTGAATCATGCTCTCCGGCCAGCAGCTCTACGAAAACAAGAGATTCGTCCTGGTGCCTGGTGAGATCCTCATCCAGCGGGGACTGAGTGTGTGGGGGGCAGGGATTTCCTGTCCGGAAATGACCCACCTCCTCAAGGGCACAGGTCCTTGTGAGGGTCACGTGAAGATGATATAACTTAGGTGACAGCCTTTAACACACTGCCTCCCACACACCTAGATACATTGGAGGGAATATTTAAACTTCATTGTTGCTTAAGCAACAATTCATCTGGAAGAATAAATATAAGAACAGCAAAAATACAGAAGAAAGGAGAGCAAGACAGTTGTGGAAAAAAGCAAGGATGGAGGCCTGGCCCTCGAGGTAGTAACTGTATTATAAGCCCCAGTGATGCTGGCCCAGGACCAACCTGATCAACAAAACAGACCATTCAGAGGCATATCCTGTGTGGGAACTTAGCGTGAGTGGCAGAGGCGAGTGAGAAACTGTGTTATCTCAGCAGACAGTGCTTGCACAACTGGCTATGCACTTTGGAAAAATATTAAAAAGAAAGACTAAATCTTTCCACTCGATTCCTTACCCACAGAAAGTGCAACATGGAACAAACCTTGAATAAAAACACCGACGTATGAAGAAAACAAGTGCACTCTGAGGAATGCCGAGAGTGACACAGATCAGAACCTTAAAGGGGAAATGTTTGATTACAGGAAAATAAGGCCTCTCTTCTAGAAAAACAGCAAGTGACAAGCAAACAAAAATGAGAGCTTACATCTACTTAAGCCTTCGTTCCCTTATCACACAAAGGGCTCTTAAAATCGGAACAGAAACTTTGCAATATAAAAATGCCAAAAGGACATACACATTGAATTTACAGAAAAAGAACTACAAATGGCCAACACAGATATTAAAGATGCTCAACCACAGGCATATACAGATAAAATTAAGGAGATATTGATCTTCAACCAGACTGGCAAAGGTGAGACAGTTTGATAGTTCTTGGTGTGGGGGTGACTAACACCCAGCGGAGGACCAGGTTGTCTCCATCAACCTTTTCATCGGCATGCCTTCTGACTCAGCAATCTGACATTTAGATTTATACCAGCCTCAAGCCCGGTCGGTGTGGCTCAGTGGTTAAGTGTCAAACCATGCACCAAAAGGTTGAGGGTTCAATTCTCGGCCAGGGCACATCCCCAGGTTGTAGGCTCAATCCCCAGTGGGGGTCATGCAGGAGGCGGCCAATCGATGTTCTCTCTCATAGATGTTTCTATCTCTCTTCCTCTTCCTTCCTCTCTCTCTAAAATCAATAAAGAGCCCTGGCTGGTTTGGCTCAGCGGTTGGAGCGTCGGCCTGCGGACCAGAGAGTTCAGTTCCCGCTAGGGGCACGCACCAATAAATAAATAAATAAAACCAATAAAGAAAAAAAAATTAAAAACAAAAAATCCTCACAGAGTTGCAGGTACATGGGTGTTCCCTAAATATTCTTTGTATTAGCAGAAGACCAGAAACCAAACATGGGTCGAATAACAAGAGTAACTGGTAAGTTACAGTAAATGGTGAAATAATAGACTACAAAGCAGCCCTTTAAGAAATGCAGTAGTTGAAGTGAATCACATTGTACCAATAAAGTAAACATGTCCAGGATACATGCCACAGGTAAGTGCATGAACGCATTAAGCAATGGACAACTACCATATATCCGGCCACTACGTGTAAAACATCAAGAAAAACAACCGAAGTAATAAGTAACTGCAACAGGGGAATTTATTATTCACTGTATGTCCTTTAAAAAAAAAAAAAAGAATATATTATATTTGAAGCTTTGTTCTTTTAGGAAGAATGGTTAGGGCTACCAAAGACCCCACGCCACCAAACTGGGGAAAGAACACTGGTTCTAATGAACCCCCAAAGGCACTTAGAGTCATCACCCTGGCCACCAATGAGGCTCCCTCCCTAATGACTTCTTGCTTGAACCACCACCTTCCCATTTTTAGTGACTCATGGGGAGGCTGCCACTCACATGACCACATGTGAGGGATTCATGCAACCTCCAAACTGTTAGGTAAATGTCTCACGGTGTCCTCACATGGGAAAAAGGGGCAAAGAGCAATCTGGGGAGCAAAACAGTCCGGTTCCCGTCCTTTTATCGACATCCTCTGACTTAACACTCAGCATCTTAACATTTTTCCAAGACTGAAGAACCTAGTGCAGTAGGCAGCCCCAGTGGAACGCTCCATAAACGTCAACAGGAGTGTCCCCAGGTGCGCCCTGGGTGCTCAGCCATCTGCTGAGATGTTAAATCGTCAGCAAGTGGAGAATGGAAGTGCTTCCAAGGCAACTCAGATTTTAAAACAGTTTCTCTGTGGGAGAGAACAGGCACCTCCCACTTCCCAGATGGTTCTTAGCTCCTGCTAGTCCTGAGTCCTGCCAGGCCCCCAGGCTCCTGCACCAGACGTGTCCTTCATGCATGCATTCTGCTTGTCTTTGGGACCCAGAGGTCCTCCTCCATATTTCCTGTGACTTTGTTCTCCCTCCTTATAACCTCAGTGGAGAACCAGGGTCCCCTCCCATAAATTAGACCTCTGAACCACCGGACTAAGCACCCAGGAAGCTCTCCCTTTCAGCCCAGCACCCTAGGCACAGCAACGTGGCATTATGGGAGAGAGTGTCTGGGTTGGGGGTTCAAGAACAGCAGCCACCTCAGCCAGCGGCGAAGATGAGTACTGGGCTTGGAGTCAGGAGAAGTGCATTTATTTTTTATTTTTATTAATTTATTTTTGTTACAGACATTTCTCCTTTTTTCTCCATTGACACCCTCCTCCCCATCCCCTTGACCCCATTCCCAGCTTTGTTGTCCATGTCCATCAGTGATGCGTACATGCATATAAGTTCTGTGGTTTATCTCTTCCCTGCCCCCAACTCCCTCTTCTGAGGGTTGTCAGTCTGTACCCTACTTCCACGTCTCTGGGTCTACCCTGTTCCTCAGACTGTTACGTTCATTATATTCCACAAATAAATGGATCATGTGATATTTGTCTTTCTCTGCTTGGCTTGTTTTGCTTAGGATAATACTCTCCAGGTCCCTCCATGTCATTTCAAAGGATAAGAGATCTTTCTTTCTTACAGCTGAATAGTACTCCATTGTGTATATGTACTATGACTTTCTTATCCATTCGTCTACTGATGGACACTTGGAGAAGTGCATTTAGATCTTGGCTTTTCCACTCACCAAGTGGGCAGCTTGAGCACCAACCTTCACTGAGCCTTGGTTTCACCACCTGTAACATGGAGCTCATCACCATTAGTTTCTCCCGGTGCAAGTTCAGAGTGAAATGAGGGTGGGCAGAGGCCCCTGGCACAGTGGCTGCTCATTTGGGCATGTTCCGTACCCAGCTCTGACTTAGTGCCCCTTCTGCCTTCGCTCCCTCTTCTTTCCTCCACCCCTAGCCGGTGTTGGAGAATTCCAGTCCACTCCAAATCTGCCTACAATACCTCCACATCACAAAGAAGGGTCTAAATGAAAACAGGTTTTGCCCGGCCAGTGTGGCTCAGTGGTTGAGCGTCGACCCATGCACCAGGAGGTCGCCTGTTCGATTCCTGGTCAGGGCACATGCCCAGGTTGTGGGCCCGATCCCCAGTGGGGGGCATGCAGGAGGCAGCCAATCGATGTTCTCTCATCGATGTTTCTCTCTCCCTCTCCCTTTCTCTCTCTCTACTAATATCAATAAAGAAAAAAATTTAAAAAAGAAAACAGGTTTTAACTTCAATTAACCT